ACTTCAGCAACCCATGCTTGCTGTAAGAGGCGACTAAGGGGATTTTGTCAGTACAAAGTATACATCCCTATGTATGTATTGTGTTAAAATCCTCCTATTGCCCACTGAAATATTACATAAATGTGGGATTGTTGGAACTTATACAACGCAAAAGCTTTTGTACCAGTTTCAGTGTAAAAAACAATGTGCAGTGTAACAAATCAGTCGTGTTGTGCTGTATCCATGGTAACAGCAATGACCTGTTATTAAAGTATATGAAGTATCCTGAACAACATAACAGGCCTGTTATTACCCCTTTTGTAGCATAAAACATTTTTTTCAGCGAAAGTTGCCGTTGCTTCGAATATTTTTTCGTTGCTTCGAGTATTTTCTCGTTGCTTCAACTATCTTTTCGTTGCTTCGAGTATTTTCTCCTTACTTCAGGTTCCTGTCAAAAACGTGAAATTTTGAGTATTTACTCGTTACTTTAAGTATTTTCTCGTTACTTCAATTATTTTTTTCGTTACTTCGATTATTTTCTCGTTGCTTCGAATATGTTCTCGTTGTTTCATATTTTCTTTTCAAAAACTTTAAATTTCAAGTATTTACTCGTTGCTTCCAGTATTTTTTCGTTACTTCAAGTTTTTGAAAGAAAGTTGAAGGAACGAGGAAATACTCAAAGCAACGAGAAATTAATCGAAACAACGGAAATATAATTAAAGTAACAAGAAAATACTCGAAGCAAAGAGAAAATACTCGAAGTAACGAGAACATTTTTGAAATGACGAGAAGATACCTGAAGCAACGAGTAAATAATCGAAGGAACGAGAACTCGCTGAATCAACATAGATATTTTTATATATTACACATATATGCACTTGCTGCGAAAAACATTGACAATGTACAATGCAATATTTATATAATTAACACATATAAAATACAGGTAAGTACACTCATGGAAACGAATAAAGGAACATACGAAAGTGCAAGCGTTCCTATACTCTTTTCCGGGTTTCTTGTCATGCTTTATACTGCACTGTGGGTAAAAATCTGGAAATAAATAATGGAACACTTGTACTTTCATGTTTTCCCTTATTCGTTTCCATGAGTATATGTAAGAATATGATATATCATGTGTATTTCAAACATGCGCGACCGCCTCCGTGGTGTAGTGGTTAGAGCGTCCGCCCGGAGAGCGGAAGGTTGCGGGTTTGATCCCCGGCCGCGTCAAAGACGTTAAAATATGGTACTTGTTGGTCCCTGCCTGGCGCTCGGCATTAATTGGGTACAACAAGGACTGGTCGGCTCGGAGTCAGTATAATGTGTCTGAGTGGGGTATTCATGCTTCACTGCGGCATGGTATCTCAGTGGGCTAGCACTATAAAACCCGCTTCAGTCTGGGCTAGTACAAGCAGCCGCACACACACATACACACGCATGCACGTCGTCATATGAGTGAAATATTCTCAAGCACGACGTTAAACCCAATTCCACCTCACCTCACCTTCAAACATGCGCGACCCGTGAAGATCCGGGGTAGAATAGGTCTTCAGTAACCCATGTGCTTGCCATAACAAGGCGACTATCTTGTCGTAAGAGGCGACTAACGGGATCGGGTGGTCAGTTTCGCTGACTTGGTTGACAAATGTCATCGGTTCCCAATTGCGCAGATCGATGCTCATGCTGTTGATCACTGGATTGTCTGGTCCAGACTCGATTATTTACAGACCGCCGCCATATAGCTGGAATATTGCTGAGTGCGGCGTAAAACTAAACTCACTCACTCACTCAAACATGCGCAGTATCAACCGATAAAATAATACAAAAGCATTTAATGTAACTTAAACGTTCAGGATGGCTTCTATCTAGTGCTGATTGCCCACTGTTTTCCAGACGCTTTTGCCAACATACCTAGTCCTTGCCTGAACAACCCGACCAGCACAGTCTATTTCCCCCCACCCCACCGACAACACCAAGTTCCTTCAGTGCGACGTCTTCAAACGCATGTACATTATCCAGTGTCCCAAGGGAGAGATCTACAACGACGCCACAACGTCATGCCGACCACGTAACCAGGCCACACAAGCACCTGCTGCAGCCTCCACTCAGGCACCCTTTCAGACCAACAGACCTGGCAATTCTGGAAATCCCTGCACCCCACAGAACATCGCCCAGAACAATATCTACTTCGCAATCAATGGCGACGAAGGCCACTTCATCGAATGCGACCCTCTCGGCACTGCAAGCATCCTAGCTTGTCCTTCGGGGCTCCGTTGGGACCAGAAGGTCGTGGCTTGTGTTTACCCACCCGGTACGAACCCGACCAGAAACCCTGTCATCGTTCTTCAGACCACAAAAGACCCTTCAGGGAACTTGAACACCAATCCCTGCAGTGCGGCTAACCTGGCGGCGGGGAAGTACTTCTTCCCTTACCCAGATGCACACAAGTTCATTCAGTGTGACCCTTGGGGCGACGTCTACATCAACACCTGTCCCAGCGGCCTCATCTGGAACTCTTACCTGGAAACATGCTTTTCACCCTTCGGGGCCGTCGGGGGAAACGCTTAACATAATTTCATGGACTTCATCACTAACTGTTCCATTCGCATTAAGGAAAATCATTGCTTGAGGTCATGGACTGATGTTATTTTGTAGTCTGATGCATTTCGTACGTTAATTAAAATATGATTGTTGTTAAACCTGTGGTTGTTGTTGTTATTATTGTAATTATAGTGTTTTGTAACATATTGCAAAATCATATACACACCAAGTTTGAAATCATTGCTTCCTGTACGCAAATGCTTCCTGAAAACAGGCATCAGTAACGGATACCACTTTTAGCCATGACCTTGACCTTTGACACAGGTACCTTACTGTTTAAGAAGTAGTAAAGATCCATACTTATTTAGTTTCGTGTGTGCTGACCATGTCTCAAAAACTGTAAATTGTATACCCCAGCTTACAATACCTGACCTGTAGACCTTGGCCTAAGACTGCAACTTTTCTAAGCATCCAAGAGAAACTCAAATAAGTGCTGTTGATCACTGGCTTGTCTGGTTCAGACTCGATTATTTACAGACCGCCGCCATATAGCTGGAATATTGCTGAGTGCTGCGTACAGGATATGGAATATGTTTGATCCCACACAGAATCTGGGGTAAATCTGACTTGTATCGACTTCGTGGCTTTCCTTTTTTGGACAGTAGGGGGCAGTTCACTCATCACGCAGAAGACCTGCGTTTGATTCCCCACGTGGCTACAATGTGTGAAGTCTATTTCCGTCTTTCCCAGCAGCATAATGGGATCGGGTGGTCAGGCTCGCTGACTTTGTTGACACATGCCATCGTATCCCAATTGCGCAGATCGATGCTCATGCTGTTGATCACTGGATTGTCTGGTCCAGACTCGATTATTTACAGACCGCCGCCATATAGCTGGGATATTGCTGAGTGCTGCGTAGAACTAAACTCACTCACTCAACGAAATACTGACCTTGACCTTTAACCCTGTTCTGAAATGTGCCAGATTTCCCCTTATCCTACATATCTATAGTAACATCAATAACATATGTGTGTGACTCTCTCAGAAGTCAGCACTCCGCTATATTCCAGCTATGTGCTTATAAACAAATGAATCTTGGCCATGTAGTCTTGATATTAGGGCCTGTTCATAATTTAGTGAGTGAGTGAGTGAGTATGGTTTTACGCCGCTTTTAGCAATATTCCCGCAATATAACGGCGGGGGACACCAGAAATGGGTTTCACATATTGTACCCATGTGGGGAATCGAACCCGGGTCTTTAGCATGACGAGCCAACGCTTTAACCACTAGGCTACCCCTGTTCATAATTTATGGCGAAGGGATGTAATGATGATTTTAAGGAGGGGTCACCCATTTTGTTCTGGGGAGGTTGCGGGGTCAGCAATTTCTTACATAAAAATATTGCAAAATTAAGCTGAAAACTTGGGGGGGGTTCATTGATTTTGTACATGATCATGACATGCAGGAGGGGTCTCTTACTTTGTACATAAATGTTAGGGGGGTCATTCACATTGTAAATGCTTCGTGACCCCGGACGTCCACTTCTAGGCCTGTCAGGCGTGACTCCCGTCCGTCTGTAACGGCTCACCAATCTCAGGATTGTTCGCTTTGAACAGTTCATCAACCTTGCAACGTGGGACTGTGTCGCTCCCAAATCCAGCATACCAATAGCTCGTTCTCTCTGCTGTGCTGTTAGCCTTGGCATGTTTCCTTTTTACCATACGATGTGATCATGGAATACATCATTTCCCTACACATTTTATACCTGAATTAAATACGGCTTTTTACGAAGGAATTTCGCAAAATTCCATGCAAATTTAACATTTTTACACAAATTACATGAATCTCGTGCAATTCAATGCGTAGTGTATGTTGTTTGCATTCGGGCAAGTTGTTTCAACCCGGTTTTTATTGAAAAAAATACAAACGTTCGTTAAAAAATGAAACATAATTTTGGTGACGTTTCTTTTGCCCGTGAGTTTATATAGTAGGAACAGAAGACAAACCCGAAATTGTCTCAGTATCAAGATGATTACATATGTCATGAATTGACCCTGGCTCTTTGTAACAGAAAATTTCATAGGAAAAGATGAAAGACAGATTAAAGTTTGATCTGAAGTTAAGTGTTGAGTGAGTGAGTTGTTGTCCTGTCCAAGCATAAACACACAGGCTTATAACATGATAAGTTTATCCTAGTACTTTATCAAGAAGAAGAACATTTCAAGCAACTAAATCACTACTTCGAAATATATTCTCAAATTACAATGTCCTATGCACCTTTCCAACACCAAGATATAATCATCAACTCCACCTAGTGGTTAAATTGTTTGCTTGTCAAGCCAAAGACCTGGGTTTCGATTCTCCACATGGGTACAATGTGTGAAGTCTATTTCTGGTGTCCCTTGCTGTGATATTGCTCAAAGTGGTGAAAACATCCTCATTCCTCGTCCATCCTCAATAGTAAAAATAGAAAACAAACATCTGACGTATATATTTAATAACATCTTTCCAAATGACATTGAACTCACATACACAAACACCATGCCACCTGACTAAATCACACGTCATTACACCGTATATCTATAAACCGAAGGACCTTCCTGTGGAGGTTTATTATAAACTTTAAGAGCCTTAGGCTGCTTGATCTTACGACCATTATAACCAGTTTTCCGATGCCACAATCCACTCTTAGGTCGAATCCCGAACCATCTGGCCCGTCCGGCTGAACCAATGATCTTTTTGTCGTTATCCACGTTGGACACCCGGCCAATGGTAGCCATGCAGTCTGCAGCTACTGCTACTTCTCGCTTGGACGGAAGTCGCAACACACACTGATCGCCGAGTTTGCGGACAATTTGAGCACTGGTGCCTGCTGCCCGGGCAAATATACCTCCCTGTCCTGGAAATATCTCCAAGTTGTGGACCAGGGTTCCTATGGGGAGAGCTCCAATTGGATGAGCATCGCCTTCTTGACCTCGCACTGCAAGAATAACAGATATCTATATGATCCTGAAAGTCTATCAGTCACTGTATAACACATAGTGATCAGGGGGGGTAGCCCATTTTGTTCTAGGGAGGTGGGGTGTGTGTGTGTGTTAGCAATTATGTACACATTTACTAGTGGAAGTGTCATTGATTTTGTACATGAACAAGCAGGGGGGAGGGGGTTCCACTTACTTTGAACATACATTATAGGATGGGGGTGGGTGGGTGGTTAATTCACATTGTACTTGCTTCTCCATAAAAAGCATCATCACCCCTTCCTAGCCATAAATTATGAATGGTCCCTAAAGATAGACGAGTTACAATCTTGACATTTGGTTAAATAAAAAGCTCGACCTCCAACAGCAGCAAAATTCAGATATTTTGAAAACTTTTTTAATAATAGTATCCTCCTTTAACACACAGGATTTGATGTAAGTAGGGAAAAAATAGACACTCATACACACAGTAATTAGAACTCAAACCTAATTAATGTAATAATGTAAATTGTAAAAAAAGGTTTAGAAAACAGGGAAAGGAATCAATCCCTATGTATACCTGTATTGGACAGCTCTCTTACATACCCACTATTACACTAGATTTACAAAAGCGTTCAGAGATTTAACATGTGCTTTCCTGCACAATGCATATTTCACACACTGGTTTTCAGACTGACTGGAAGTCCTTTATAAATACAAATTGCTCCTATAAATACAAATTGATCCTATAAATGTCGCACCTGTGGCTGGTTTCATTGTTCTCACCAGCTATTTTGGTCAATTTGCCGGATGTTTTGATGATGTCCCCTGGCTGCATGTTCTGGGAGGCAAGGATGTAGCGCTTCTTGTTGCCTCCAGCAACGACCGCAATATCCGCAGAGCGACAGGGGTCATACAGCACTTCCATCACCTGTTCTTCCACTGGGGGTCCGTCTTTGGGGCCAACACGCTTGAAGTCCACCATTCGGTATCTCTGCCTGGCACCTCCACCAACTCGGCGATTGGTGATTCTCCCTGTGAATCACACACACACAAACAATGCTGAACAGTGAACTGACCCACTTTTCCTAGCTTCTCACAGTTTGAGAAATAGTGAGTGAGTATGGTTTTACGCCGCTTTTAGCAATATTTCAGCAATATCACAGTGGGGGGACACCAGAAACAGGCTTTACACATTGTGCCCATGTGGGGATTCGAACCCAGGTCTTTGGCGTGACAAGCGAACGCTTTAACCACCAGGCTACCCCACCGCCCAAGAGAAATAAGCTTGGAGTGAGTGAGTATGGTTTTATGCCGCTTTTAGCAATATTCCAGCAATATCACGGTTGGGGACACCAGAAAAAGGCTTCACACATTGTGCCCATGTGGGGATTCGAACCCAGGTCTTCAGCATGACGAGCCAACGCTTTAACCACCAGGCTACCCCACCGCCCTAGAGAAATAAGCTTGGAGGACAGGAGTAAGTGAGTTGTGCTTAACTCCACTTTGAACAGTATCTCAGCAATAATGTGGTGTGTCAGCTTAGTCTGGGAAGAGACCCTGAAGTCATACAGGTCACAGATGATTCCCAGTGGGTATGGCACTGACTCACCTATAATGATACTCTGGGTAAAGAGCATGGAATGAAAACCCACAATCTTAGAATTCACACAGGGCAGTGACAACTCTGCACAGTGATGTTTGGTTTGTTGTTTAACGCCACACTTAGCAATATTCCACCTATACGGCAGCGGTCTGTAAATAATCAAGTCTGGACCAGACAATCCAGTGATCAACTGCATGAGCATCGATCTATTCATTTGGGATACGGTGACATGTGTTAACCAAGTCAGTGAGCCTGACCATTCGATCCTGTTAGTCATCTCTTACGACAAGCATGGATTGCTGAAGACCAATTCTAACCCATCTTCATGGGTATCTGCACAGTGAACTGAAACACATTAGAGGACTCGACCACCCGTACCTCGAGCTGAGATTAAGATGCAAGAGCAAACATATCTTTAGCAGTTATGGCTGAAAGCACAGGATGCCCACTTCCATAACTATATAAATGGATATAAACTGCTGGCTAGCTGTTCTCGAAAAGTTCGTAGCCCTAAGAACTTCTTAAGCCCATTCTTAACACATTGGCTACGATCATAGTTAAGAATTCTTAGGGCTACGAACGTCTCGAGAATAAGGGTCCTAGTGCTGCATATTTATGTCACGTCACCATGACAAAACTTGATACTGTATACCTTGATTTCACTGACATTCATATACCTCAATTTCATATTCATGTCAAACATTCTATGTAGGTTGTTCTCACCACTTGAATCACGGCCTCCAGACTTGGTTAAAGGCAATGGTTTCAATGTGTACTTATTGAGGTCGATGCCTTGATTGATAAACTTCATCTTGCCATTTAAACTGGTGCTGGTGGTGATATTCCTGCAAATAAAATAACACTGAGTCACAAGCTGACACTTAATCTCCAGGACCTATACAGATGTGGTACAGGATAAAATAGGAATCACTACATGGAAAGAAATGAACATGTATGAACAAGGAATTCATGTACAATGGAGTGAGCAAGTTTGGTTTTACACTGCTTTTAGCAATATTCCAACAATTTCACGGTGGGGACACCAGAAATGGGCTTCACACATTGTACCCATGTGGGGAATCGAACCCAGGTCTTCACCACAGCGAGCAAGTGCTTTAACCACTAGGCTACCCCACCGTCTTACATACAATGGAAGCTTACATACCAGAATGAAATGTGAAGCTCTACTGTCACACAAAAGTAGCTACCAGCCACCCTTTGACATCGTGGGTCAGGAAAATGTGAGATCTTATGCCCCATGTGTAAGATGACCTTCCTTCAAACCCCTCTAATTCTCGGTATGAAAAACTCACCTTTTATGCTTTGATATACGTGATACAATAAACTAATACATTTACACTCTAAATTACTTCATACAGCAATATTGAATTATGTTCACAATAAGTAAAATATTAAACAGAAATCAGCCATGACCCTGGAATCTATTCACCAGTAAAAAATAAAAATATTGTTTCATAACATTGAAATGTTTGTGCCATGTTTATTAACGGTATTATTCCATGATCCAAATTGATTCTATGTTCTGTGAGTGAGAGAGTTTGGTTTTATGCCGCTTTTAGCAATATTCCAGCAATATCACGGTGGGGGGACACAAAAAATGAGCTTCACACCAATGTGGGGAATTGAACCCATGTCTTCGGCGTGATGAGCGAACACTTTAACCACTTGGCTACCCCACTGCCCACCCTGGGTTCAGACTATTCCTACCTCACACCAGCAGCTGTGGGAGACATCCTCAACATGGAGGACAGCATGGAGGACAGACATGCCACAGATCGGCCCACCTCCCTTGCCGCTGCCATTGTGATGAGTAGTCTAGGGTGCTCACGTACTGTGTATCTGAAAATAATTACAACATATTAGTCTTATCCTATATCGGTGTATGTTCTGACTTGCTGACGTGGAATCAGAATTGAATGTTATTTTTTCAATAACTGCAAGAGAGCAACAGGATTGAAAAGGGATGTTTCCATGGTGACCTGAAATAAGCGAGAATTGTTACACCCCTGTGGGTAAGAAACAAATGTGAGATAAGTGGTATCAATAATATATGTGAGATCGAAATCCCACTCTGTGATCGGGTCAGATTATGACAGGACTATTTCAAGTGATTATTTAGTTGTGCATTGCTCAAACTCACTTACGTACGATACACCACTGTGGATGTGAAACCCATGTAAAAAATTGGTATTGCACCTACATGCGAGATGGAATTTCAAGTCCGAGTCTTATTAAAGTCTTGGATAATTGACAGCTTTGACGGAAACGTGTGTGGAGGGTCACCCTAGGTATGAGTAGTGACTAGTTGCCCGAATAACGTCTCAAATGACCATAATATATATTATGTATTAATACGCCACTTTGACAAGAGGAGACAAGATATATGTCGACTGGATGTTGTAGCAGGTTGATTTATGGGTGTGTGAGAAACAGATTACTGCCCTTGTGCCTGTCGGACAGCATTTATCTTACAACTTGTTGTTCTGAATATATCTACAGTCACGTCTCAATGGGTCGAATCGCTAGGGACCAAGTAATAATTTCGCCTTATCCATGTATTCGAGACATAGGTATGTCTTTGAGGGTAGAAAAAAAGATGATCCAGTCCTAATTCCTCCGCCTAAGCATTTGTTTATCTAATGATTTCCAAATCACTATTAGGGGCACCTTATCAGTTCCAGTCTGATTAGCACAGACAGTGATTTCCGTAATTGAACTCACCCGTCAATGGCGGAAAGGTGTGAGCCGCGCTGGTTTGTTAATTGGATCAGTTTGCTACACCAATCAACTTCTCATTGGCTGACTTCGGCTTATGTATACAAGATTGCTGTTGTTTGAATCTCATGGGACCAACTTTCCTTTTCGAGTCATCGTGTGTATTTATGAGACGAATTCGTGTAACCGGTATTCAAATGATGACAACTATAACAGGGAATGGTCGGGACCGACAGGTATTTCGAGTTATGCATAATATTCGAGACACCGGCATTCGACTCATCGAGATTTGACTGTATCTCACTTTGGGCATTTTGAAAAGACTTGTGTGATAAATGGTATCTGACAGATACTTAAGCAGTTATCTCTGTTTACACATGATACAAGCTGTAGGATTTATCTCAGCACAAAAAATTCATTTTTATAAAGTGGGGAGATGAAACAGGTTTAATATCACATACAACACTAATTCAATGGACAATCTTTGTCAAATTGTCTTCCCTTCACTAATCTGCTGGGAGGGTTGATCCAGACGGCCAACCTTGAACTGATACCGCATCGCGGTGGGCGAACTGGCTAAAGCGCCAGGCTAGTGATCCAGCGAGCTTGATATGACGGGATCGTGTCCACCTGCGACCGGGTGTAAAAACCTTGAGTCAAGTTTGTGTGCAGACTCTTTCAGTGTTGTCACAACCCCTAGTGTACAGTACACAACCCTGTGCACTTAAAAGAACCCACGAATCTGTTGGTATATGACCAGATGGTGGCCACATGAATACGTGCAAACACCCAGTTGCAGGTACAGCAACGAGCAGTAAACTTGGATAAAGTACAGTGACTATGTGTCCCAGTCCACCCAGCTGTAATTGGGTACCTCATAAGGATGGCAATGCCACAATAACTCGGTGGCCTAGTGGCTGCAAAAGTTGAATGCTCCCCGGGGAGTTGAGATTGACAATACAATGGGCCATTGAGATTGACATCCAGTGAACGAGGGAAAAACAAAGCGCCTTTGAGCAGCTGAGCTGGATATCAGCGCTATACAAATGGGGCGGTGGGGTAGCCTAGTGGTTAAGGCGTTTATTTATCACGCCGAAGACCCGGGTTCAATTCACCACATGGGAACAATGTGTGAAGCCCATTTCTGGTGTCCCCGTCTGTGATCTTGCTGCAAAAATGTTAAAAGCAGCATAAAATTAAACTCACCCACTAACGATAAATTAAGGATAGATCCAGGATAGAAATGAAATTTTTCCGAAGGGTAACAAAGGGCACCAGACAGAATTTAGGTGTGAATTTGTAAAAATAAGTTTGCCCATACCTTTAATGATCCAATTAAACTTAAAACATCACAACAATTTTGTCATTTTAATTTTTTGTTTTGTTTTTGTTTAACAGTAAACATCATGTAAACCTGTACACTGGAGAGCTGGAGTTCCTGAACACTATAACGACTGCAAGAATAGTTCAGCTTCGTTTGTCCTGGACCCATAAACAAACCTACAGACTATGTTATCATCGAAAACATGTTTTCCTGTTTTGTGAAATGGAATTCAAAATAGCCACACCTATGTTCAGCTGTGAGATAGAGTGTCACTGACAGACAGTTTGATAGGGTGCAAAAATAGATTTTCAACAATTTGAGTTAATTTACTTCTGTTTTAGGAAGATATGTATCACAACTTCGTAACAAATAGCTCAATATATTAACACATGTGATGGCTCATATCACTAAGGCCAAATAAAAAAAATGTCGTGGTTTCGATTACACCTCTTTAAAATTTAGGGTAGGTAGGTAGGTAGAATTATTTTTTTTAAAACATATTTTTAGAAGTAAAGTACAAACTTAAATAACACATTTATCAATGTGTAATTGTTTTTTCAATCAAGCTTGCAGCCATTATATCGACTTTCTCTATCAGAATGACCGATGTCTGTCGGTGCGGGGAAAAAACAATGGTATCTGAAAGCTTATTTTATTCATTCCGTCTAAAAAAGTAGGGTCGGCACCAGAATTCAAGGGTCGGTCAGGTAATCGGAACCACAACATTTTTTTTTAGGCCTAACTGATAGAAATATCTTCCCAGTGACACAGTGGTAAATCTTTTCATTCATACTATGACTGGTATGTATATTGCAACTGATTAGATGATAGATGCAAGGTTGATTCCCATGGGATTATTTTTCAAATATATTATCAGAATTTAAAAGCAATCAGATGCAAAGGCGGATCCAGGAATTTTCAAAGGGTGGGTGGGGTGTTTGAACCCCCTGAATCCCCCCTTGTATCTGCCAATTAGATGTAGGAGGAATAACTAACTTAAAGGTAAATTTAATATCAGCTGTTAAATTCTGCATGTTATTTCTTCTCTAGTTACTTGAAAAGGTACATATATGATGTTTAATAGCAATAAACCCTTGTAAAAAAATGCCTATGTTCTCCAGGTTTCTAAGATGTATTTCACAGTTTATTTCATTGAAAAGAGTGGTTATGTCTGGTAGATTTGAATGCTGCAATAGTTAAGGACTTGAAACAACACAAAAGCTGATAAATAAGCGAGTTTGCTTCATTTCATCAATGTGATGTTACCCAACATGGACAATACCTCGTTGTTTCCTGATGAAGGAAAGTTCATGACAATATACCGTTTGAAAATAAACATACAACTGTATGAATGATACCTCCTTGTTTATTGTATAGTGCGACATTTCGATGTAGATTCTTACACCGTTATCAAGCTAAAACTTCTAGAATGCTGATCAAACAATTAGAATGCCAATCAAAAAAGTAATATACTGTTTTTCATGATGTTTTCCTCGTTATCTCCTCGTGTGTCAGTAGACAGTAGATTACAGACAACGAGAATTAAGTTTAAGTCTTAATAGTAATGGTATTTTGACATTACTCAAACAGTATACAATTGTCACAAAACATAAAAGACTATGCCAGAAACATGATCAAGGGAAGACATCACAGTTAATCTGCTGGCTGTTGTGTAACAGTAGTATCGCTGAAGGAGTCGTCGGCACGGACAATACAGATATGTACCCCAGGTACTAGCCAAAATCTGAATACAGATTACAGAAACGTATGTTAGCACAGGTCCAATCCACACTCTACCATTTTCTTGATCATGGAACTGTTATACTGTTATTTTAGATGCATTTGATTGCGTTATATAAGAAACAAGCATACACAGTAACAAATATTTCATGATGCACAATATCACGCTCAATCAGTTGAATGGGTATAACTACCTGCAGTTTCAGTTTTGGGTTGTGGAAGAATATGGACTCGTCCTCTGTTTGGGGTACAGATATAGTGGTGTGACGATTCATCGATACAGTGAATCGATTCAAAGTTTTACATTGTCGAATATCCCAATACGATACTTCAAATGGGCCACGATACATCGATGTTTAATTTTGAATATTGCCGAATCGCGATATCTGTCGATAGAAAAGACTTACTTTTGTTTGATGACTAAATACATGTATATGCTTACATATTTTCCCTTCATAAGTAAACGTTTTCTTGGAAATTCTTGCGTCAAGAACTGTGTCAGACATAGCGTTCGCATGATATTAACATTCACAAAGTCTGTGAATAAACTTAATTATCCCGTTTCCAAATGAGCATTGAAAGAACACTGGCGGAATTTGATGAAATACTTTAAAATGGTTTTGTTTTGATCTTAAGGTGTATTATAGTTAGTATTGTGATACCTTTTGTATCTCCACCCTTACATCGGGATTTGTGAGGTGAGGTGAGGTGAAATTGAGTTTTACGTCGTGCTTGAGAATATTTCGCTCATATGATGACGTGCATGCGTGTGTATGTGCGGCTGCTTGTACTAGCCCAGACTGAAGCTGGTTTTATAGTGCTACTGCTAGCCCACTGAGATACCATACCGCAGTGAAGCATGAATACCCTATTCAGACACATTATACTGACTCCGAGCCAACCAGTCCTTGTTGTACCCATTAATACCGAGCACCAGGCAGGGACCAACAAGTACCATATTTTAAAGTCTTTTGGTATGACGCGGTCGGGGATCGAACCCACGACCTTCCGCTCTCGGGGCGGACCTCTAACTACTACACCACACATCTCAGTAGTACCTGTGTGGACAACGGCGGAATTTGTATCGTATCGCAGCTTCAGTGCACAATACTTTGGCAATATATTGTCGTGACTAAAATTTTAGCAATGTGATGTATCGTATCGCAGGTTGTATGCCAATACCTGCACAAGTACAGAAACATGTTCGGGGTACACATCTCAGTAGTATCTGTGTGGACAACGACCCCTTCAGCAGTAGTGTCAAGGATACTGTCGATCACTTAACATAACACAGACATGTTGGAGGGAAATGAATACCTGATCTTTAGAAATATCTGCATGTATTATTTGACAACTAAATCATGCAGAGATCAGTCAGTTTACTTAATAGACTGAAAAATCTATAATCTGTTGAGAATCGAGCACCACATTGCACAAAATGCTAACAGGATAAGTAATTGCATGTACAGGCAAGTCCTGCCATATATAAGCCTACAGACATAAGGTATTTGATGAAATGTGCTCTCCTCACCTCCACCTTGCTTCAGAAGGACGCCGCCATCTTTGAGATGGGACAGGGGCCATAGCAAATGTATAAATGCTATGGGGAACACGAATTAGTGTTTTGTGAAAATGACCGAATCCTAAAAAAGTATGCTATTTTTGTATCAAATTATGTGCTACACATTATTACATTGTATGTATTAAGCATGTGATTAAGCGACAGTGGTGTGTTAAATATTTAGTGAAAATAGATGCTCCCTGAAACCGGAAGTTATACCAACGTGCTTGGATCGTGGCTATATCAGGCGAATCCTCTTCATATTTTAAATTGTCACATCATGGCATCTGCATTAGAGAGCTATGTTAATAGTATCCTTTGTACTTTTATTAATGCCGCTGTGGTTATGATGCTGATGAAGAATCACCAGTCATAGTTCATTATCATACTACAGATGTTTCAGTCCTCCAGTTTTCGCTCAATGAATATTTGAAAATCTTATCATCACCACATAGTTCCTGATTGTATACGTGTCTCTAACAGTCACTAAGCAGTAAGAAATGATGATATTTGTTCCATTTTTTTCCCATGCAACTAAAGGTTTCAGTAGAAACATGTTGAAGTTACACGTAATTTGTTTATATTCGTCTTCATAATCGTGTTGAGCCTGCTCGTTTTGAACTAGTAAAGAAATGGACCTTTAATCATACGTATACATTTTAGTCCTTTATTGTGTAATTGTTTCTTGTGTACATTAATGAATGACAAATTTGTGGTTATTTCCTTGACAACCTTTCTCAGAAACAGTATCTGTGGTGACAGCTGATGGTCGAATCATTGTGGTAAGAATCTTTCAGTTAGTCACAGGCTACCTGCCCAGTCCATAGTACATGTAGTAGCATGGCCTAAAGAGGACAAATGTGACCTTTACATAGAGTTTTCAGAATTCGTCAGATCACTTCATATTTTGTGTAAACTGTTCACAAAAATAACCCATATGATTTGAGTTGCTTGCTTACAAATATGTATGAAAATGTGGTAAGAGTTCTTCCCATTCCCCCATCCCAAATAATATTTATATATTGATATATACTAAAATTATCAACAAAACCTAAGACAACAATTACTAGCGAACTCACAAAAATAACTAAAAACCCAAACATTAATTATAGGATCGAACTGTTACCTCTGTTAATCTACAGAATAAAGAAATGGGGGAACGGAAGGAACTCTTTCCGAAAATATATCATATGGAAAAGTATAATAACATTCTAGATCAAGAAGTATAATTATCCTATGTTGTCAATTCAGCTTACGGATGTCTTTGTCATCACATATTTTTATTTACTTATCAAATACGGGCATCACATGTACATAAACTCTACTGCAGTGAATATTGCGTAAAAGTGCTAAATCTCATTTATTTGCCATTGTATCACTGTTGTGAGCATATGTTACATGTGGCACATATGGATAGATACTAGTTCGAAGTCCCCTGAACCATGAGCAGAGAGTATTTTTGAGCAGAGAAATGCTGACTCATTTGTTTAAAAGTGTTCAGTTTTCTGGACCAAACATTTTAAATATGTCCTTCATAACCATAGTAAGCAAATGGCATCATTTGAGTAGATACTTGAAAATACTAGGACCCCGATGATGTTTTAATTGCTCTATCTCAAAAGATTTTATAAGTATTCTCTTGCTTCATGAGGGAACTGGAGATTCAGTGCCTAGACATATAATCTGCCATGTCCATTTATTGATTGATGACTCAGACATGTCAAAGATGACAAATAACACTTTGAATTTCATCTTAACCATAGCGGTTAGTTTTCTTTTGATAATCACACATCACTTGGTTATCTACAAGATAAGATCCATACTATCTGTTACCATGGTTACATTCTGTGGCGCGTTATTTGAATACAGATCTATATTCTGGGTTCATCTATCCATACAGGGAACTCTTAAAGGTTTTGACCAGACTATCAACCTGATCCTAGACGAGAGTCACGAGCGTGTGTTCAGCATGTCACAAGGGATGGAACAGGTAGTCCTTGGCCTCTACATCGTCAGGGGAGATAATGTGTAAGTTGCTCAAATTTGACTCAAAACAGTTCCAGGTTTGCTGTACAGTTGTGTAAAATATGCAAGTTAGAGCAACATTAGTCAACAGATATGGAAGTTCTTGAGTGGATAGTGCAGGAAAACAATTAAAAAACATGTTAGCCATTTCACTGTTTTTGCTTGAGCTCTACTGAAGAGACAGTACCGCCTCCGTGGTGTAGTGGTTAGAGCTCTACTGAAGAGACAGTACCGCCTCCGTGGTGTAGTGGTTAGAGCTCTACTGAAGAGACTGTACCGCCTCCGTGGTGTAGTGGTTAGAGCTCTACTGAAGAGACAGTACCGCCTCCGTGGTGTAGTGGAAGAGACAGTACCGCCTCCGTGGTGTAGGTTAGAGCTCTACTGAAGAGACTGTACCGCCTCCGTGGTGTAGTGGTTAGAGCTCTACTGAAGAGACTGTACCGCCTCCGTGGTGTAGTGGTTAGAGCTCTACTGAAGAGACAGTACCGCCTCCGTGGTGTAGTGGTTAGAGCTCTACTGAAGAGACAGTACCGCCTCCGTGGTGTAGTGGTTAAAGCTCTACTGAAGAGACAGTACCGCCTCCGTGGTGTAGTGGTTAGAGCTCTACTGAAGAGACAGTACCGCCTCCGTGGTGTAGTGGTTAGAGCGTCCGCCCAAAAGACGTTAAAATATGGTACTTGTTGGTCCCTGTCTGGCTCTCGGCATTAATGCGTACAACAAGGACTGGTCGGCTCGGAGTCAGTATAATGGGTCTGAGTGGGATATTCATGCTTCACTGCGGCATGGTATCTCAGTGGGCTAGCACTATAAAACCAGCTTCAGTCTGGGCTAGTACAAGCAGCCGCACATACACATACACACACACATGCACATCGTCATATGAGTGAAATATTCTCAAGCACGACGTTAAACCCAATATTCACCTCACCTCACTGAAGAGACAAATGCACAGGAATGATTTCTTGTAACTTAGACTTGTGTATCATTGTGTGTGTGTCTAGAACATGTGACAGACTTCACACCATATGAACAGATACCAGTTTCCTGAAACAACATTTTAAACAGAACTATTTGTAAATAAATTGGAACCGAGGCTGTTAACATATTTTCTAAGCTCAGTGTTAACTACAGGTACCCAATATGAAAGCAGAGCTACAGATAACTTTCTGGGTCATTGAGTTATGTACTCGCTTGTGTTCATCTCAATTGGGTATCCAAATTTTCTTTTGAGTAACCAATTATATTGTACCCACCTTATTCAAACTCAATTGGGTATTTTGCCATTTTTCATTAATTGTAAAAAATATAATGAAGTTTAAATGTTGGTTTATGTGTTTGTTATTTACATTTGATCTATAATATGAAAACGATAAGAAAGACTGCAAGTTGTCAAGTTTATGTGCTGAAATAGAACCTCTCAATATACCTTAGTTATTTTATCTATTTTTTTGTGTGTACGATGTAAGATCAAATTTATTGCGTTTTTACAAAACTTCAAGTGTGCAATAGGCTTTATAGGAATTGAGTTATCGCATATAAATATTTGCGTAATTTACGCAGATACGTACCGGTAGCTTATCTGTACCTCTGATGAAAGATAATGTGAATACTCAACAGGAAATGATGTGTTGTCCCGCATGTATCTTCTCCATAGCTAAAGATATTTCGCATACATAGACAACTGTTTTTAATATTTTTAAACTTATTTTTCTAATATTTTTGGCATGTTCATGTATTAAGTGTGTGTACAATTTTGCATACTGACAGTACTGTCTTTCAGAGCTGTGATTGGTGAAATAGATGATGACACAGACTCTGCTATGGACTTCAACAACATCAAAGCTGAGCCCCTTAACTCTGTGGTTCACTGACCAGTGGAGCAGGAACCTGTGTTTACGTTAGCCAATTGGTGGACATCAGACTCAGTCCACAGCATGTACTGAATGAACAATTTGGCCTTGTTCTGCAGACTGTGATTCCCACTGTCACATGCTGAACATTACTACTGAGTCTCAGCTGAAACCTCCAGACAAGAGGCAATGTTGCATCAGCAAGAGCTGAATAATGAAAGTGGAACTTGTTTAAGATGATACTTGAGGACAACACTTTTTTAGATGAAATAGTGATTAGCAAAATTTTACCATTTATGTGAAAACTGTCTACTTCTCTGTAACATGGTTACTATGAAATAGATAATGTTTGATCTGTTATTAAATTACGATTCTATGTAAATAAAAGTGAGGAAATGTTTTAAAGATCTACATTCAATGTCATAAGTTGTCATGTTGACCTCACTTTGAAAGGGATCGGATGCAGTGCTTGAAATCTTTTTAAAATTCTCACTGGCCAGATGATCCTTGACCTGTTGCCAAACTGGATCAGTAATCAGAAATATCGGGCCAGGGAATCTGTATGGCTTTGTATGATGGGCATATGTAATTAGTTTCACTTGGTCCCTTTGAAGCACTGGTCTGTGCAGAGTTGTGTCTGTTAGGCAAGGCAGTGATTCGAATCTCAGACTCGGTGTGATGATTTTTGTAGATTTTCTGTAAAATGCCTAAGACCAGCATTTATGCATCATGATTTTATCCCCATCAAGCTGACAAATTGAATGGGAACCACTGTTGAAAACGGTGATAAGTCCAACTTTCTATTTTGTGAATCCAGGTGAGTGAGTATGGTTTTACGCCGCTTTTAGCAATATTCCAGCAATATCAAGGCGGGTAGCACCAGAAATGGGCTTCACACAATGTACTTCAGTTTGACAAGCGAACGCTTTAACCTCTAGGCTACCCTTCTGCCTTGAAACCAGAGGTATCAATACAGACAGGTGTTCCACTTACAAAGAAGACACCTCATTGTGTCTGGTGCCTATCACTTGATATTTTGTGAACATACAACTTGGCAGATTTACATGGAACTTTGGGTGGTGGAGGTTTGTCAAAGGATTTTGTTGTACCTGAAGTTTATGTTTCAAATTTTCATGACTCCCCATCCCCCTTCCAATACAAATACCATTTTCTCTTGAAGAACCTCTATCATCCACATAAAATATATTTTGTCTTTAAAATACACCTTAAGGCCAGACCAATTTTATTTCTTGTTTTACAGATTTTTGTCCTCAGAAAACCTAAAGGCAGGAGGGAAAAAATAAAAAAATTAAAATCACCAGTCAAAGTAATATTCCTTTAAAATACTACAAGTATTTTATTTTTGGCACTTTATGAATGTTTTGGGGGGTAAGTTTACATTTTTGGACAATAACATCATGAGGATTTTATTTTTTAAGTGGGGAAAATTCATTTTTAATTTTCTTATTCTTGAAAAAATTTGACCGCAGATCCATAAAACAAGAAATAAAATTGGTCTGGCCTAAAGAATGATCAAGATCTTTTCATTTTATGTCTTTGTGAGAATATCAACGTAAAGTCGTCAAAATTAGACCAAATATTTTTACAGTGATGAAGAATTTGTTTAGAGGTCCTTGGAGTGGTAAAAGGTTGTCAGTAGGTTTTAAGAATTGTTTACAATATTCCATCCCCAAATTCTTGATCTGGAGGTCATTCATCATAATATGAAAGTATCATTCTCATTTCAGCCATTATTGTACACTCAACTTCATGGTCATTAAACATTGTACAGAAGGACTTGTTTTCTGTATTTGTTTTAAAACTTATGTATTGTATCGTTCTGATTTTAGTTAAAGTATATGTCCCCAGCAACCTTTGTATCGTAAACCAATCAGACTGGACCAATAGCACGTCATCACGTCTCCATGGCTCCGATCTGTAAAGATCCAGGTTAGAACCGGTCTTCAGCAACCAACGCTTGTTGTAAGAGGTGACTAATGGGATCTGGTTGTCAGGCATGCTGACATGGTCAATACTTCATGGTATCTCAATTGTTTAGAGCGATGCTGATCACAGGATTGTCTAGTTCAGACTCGATTGTTTACAGACTGCCGCCATATAGTTGAAATATTGCTGAGTGCGGCATTAAACAACAAACGAAACAAAACACTGTTTTTGAATATCAGTCTTTCAACAGTTGCATGGCCATTGTTGGCACAGACCAGTGATTGAATAACTCAACTAGACAGTCGGGCAGGTGACCAATAAATGTTGCCTGTCCTCACTTTTGACTCATAAATTGCATTTATCATTGTTTCAAATGTGAATTAATTCAGCAAATTAAAAACAACAAGCATGAAATTAAATACTCAGACATCCCCAGCCTGTGACATTAGTAAAGAGCCTGTTGAACTTGCAATTCCCCAAATCTATCTTCTTGCGTGTTATTCATACTATGCTTCCAAAAGGGAGGTATTTAAAAATATCAATCGGGCTTGCAGATATTTCTCAGGCGGCCTGACACGAACGTTGCCAGCCTTGGGTAGGCGGGCATGCCGTTATTTCAATCACTGGCACAGACATAACAGAGTATTTGACCATGTCAAAGTACAAGGTATCTTTGTTGTCACAGACTGGTGCATGTTGCATCATGCTTAAATGAATGCTCCCCAATAGGATGTTGTTTGAGTATGGTCTTAAGCTGCTCTAAGCAATATCGGGGCAGAGGACACAAGAATGGGCTTCAAACCCAAAACCCATATGGGGAATTCAATCCTGGGCTTCAGCATGACGGTGTTCACGAAGAGCGTCTGACCCTCTGACGGCAGATTCGCCGATGGTCTGATAGAAGTCTACAACCCGCGGCCCCAGTGTCTGACTGTATATTTCACAATGACTTTGAAGATGTTATATGTGACATGTAACACTTGTTTGCTGTTTATAAATCTTACGAATGTTAAGAATTTCCATGCCAATTATAAGAAATGTAAAATCTGAAATGTGTGTTTAATTTTATTCTATGGGTCCTGTGAATTTTCAATGGGTCAGACAAACATCTGAAACTTGCAGGACCCAATGTCTTGTTACTTTGAAACACCATTTGTGAACACTGGCATGACAAGTGAATGCTTTAACCACTAGGCTACCCAAATGCAGAGTTTTAGAACTGCTCCTGGGTAACCATCCTCGATAATCTCCAGGGTATAGTATCGTTATGATCAATCTCCACTATGCATCCACGGCTTGGCCCGATAATTTTATTACCTCCCTTTGCTGGCTCCGCATTCTCACAGTAGCCAATCAGCTAAGCCGCCGTTACATCCGAGCTTGCCATTGTCAACAAAGATAAAGGTTTGTTCGCAGTGTCACTCAAATTTTGGGGATATTGCTGGAATATTGCTAAAAGCGGCGTAAAACTAAACTGGTCATAACCCTGATGACTAAAAACATGAACAGATTCGTGACTGGCTTCTTAGCACGTGACTGTACCCTGACAGTATGGACTGGTTGGTTGGTTTGTTGGACGCACTCGGCAATATCCCAGCTATATGTCGGCGGTCTGTAAATAATCGAGTCTGGACCAGACAATCCAGTGTTCAACAGCATGAGCATCGTTCTACGTAATTGGGATACAATGACGTGTCAACCAAGTCAGTGAGACTGACCACCCGATACTATTAGTCGCCTCTTATGACAAGGATGGGCTACTTAAGATCAATTCTCACTTGTATCTTCACAGGTCGTTTTCATCAGTATTTCTCACTCCCAAACACTCTCAAACAAACAAAAAACAAAGACAAGCGTACATATTAAACATTTATATGAGGAATCTGATGCCCATGTCGCAGGCAAGCTTACACTAGCACCTACAGTACAGTGTATTCACAGTGTAGAGTACTAGTCACGCCAGCTACAGGGCGTCTAGCAATATCCACAAAGGCATGTCGCTTATCACTTGTGTGAGAATGTACAAAAGCCTTATATACAGATGGTCTTCTCTTGATAAGAAATACAAGCTTGAAAAAAAGAGATATTTCACATTTTTACAAAATTGACAGTTTGATTGTTAGATTTGGGTTTGATCTTATTAATTAAAATGTTCAAATTAAGATGCTGGGCTTGAAAGCCATCCTCCTCCTGTTGAAGAGATTCAGAATGTTGAGCATACATGATCCATCTGAAGCTCAGTGTTATTTCATTATGTTTACACACAACAAAGAAATATCATCGACAATTATCCATGGTATCACACAGCCATTTTGTTACATTAAACACCCTGGACCAATTCACTACCATAGTTTCGCACTAAACCTGATTCAAATAACATGATGCTAAAAATAAGTGTCCAATCAAAATACAAGGAATGAGACATTTCTATGAAAACAGCAAATGACATTTAGAAAGTGGTCAAATGTAACACGTTATGTTTGGGATTAAACTTTCTCAATCAGGTACAGATTCTGTACCCAAACGGGACTAACTCAACACAAGTACGAGACGTTAGTAGAGTCGGTACTTTACTGAGAAAGGGTAATCTCGAATACAATGTGTTACGAGAGAAATTTCCATGTTGATATAGATGAGAGAAATTACAATGGTGACTTCCAAAATGAAACTTTGGTAATATATGGATCAAGGTACTTAGTATAACACAATGGAGATATGACACAGTTGATATGTGAGGATGGGAAATAAGCAGAAAGTTCAACCGATGCTGCAGTTGAACAAGAAACAAAAGTTAATTAAACTACCTTCATCTCATGACACTTTCAACACATAAAGCTAGTTATGTCAAGACACATGAGACAATGTTGATTTTGTGGCGACGCTTGAGCAAACAATGCCTCCAGCTGTACATGAAATGAAAAGTCGGAAACAGAAGATGGAGATGAATAGGACCAGTGGCTGGTAGTTATTTGGCGTTGGACTTAAATGTTGGATCCAATTTTCAGTGAAAACTCAAGATAAACCAAAGCTATCATGAAGCAGATGGGATCATTAACTTATGAGGTACAACTTAATAAGATACTGCAATCATCATCAACACTCACAGACTTTGGTAATGGTGCTATATTCAGTTTATTATGTATATGAACAGTCTCTGCCGAAACCTGTCAATGTACGGGACTAAACATGTAAAATGATATCATTTTCCGTAGACTTTAAGAGTCAATGTAGATATTTTTGTAAGCTAAATTCATGATTAATAAATTTGCTTGACCAAAGAAAATTTACTAGCCTCTAGCCTTAGACTAGTGGTTTAAGTCACAGACATGTCTGGAGATTTGAACTGGGTTTGTTACAGATGGCTTCACGTATCTGATTGTAGGTGAATGAGTGAGTTTAGTTTAACACCGCTTTTAACAATATTCCAGCAATATCACGGCGGTGTGACTGTAGGGACCGGTGTGGCAGTCATGCATCTAGTAATTTCGCTGCTAGAAGTTCCCTGTCAGAAATGACAGAAAAGTTTCTCCAAGACGCTAACCTGCCATGGGTCACATCTGTTAAACTGTATCATCAGTAAGTAATAGCTCCCAAATCCTTTTCTTATTGATGAATATAATATTTTGGCTTTCATTCCATCTCTGCTTGAGGGTGCATTTTTTCACAATTCTGGTTCATATTGAGAAAATGTTGGAGTCTGATGTAAACACACGACTGAATTTAGTCAAGTTTACTTCAAGAAAAATATACTTCTGACCATCGGATAATGAGTCAACATTCATTCTATCCACAGTGAGCACATCATATCTCACATGACAAGATCTCACACTATGGATTACATCGGCAGACAACTAATTGTGTGTGAAATTCAAATGATCTTCCAACAAATGTTTCATAGACAATGAATACTCATCAAGGGAAAGACATTGCATATCATTTTCATGAAAAACTATAATGAAATGTATGAAAAGTTAAGAAATTGGCCCAAAATCATTCTTTGTGTGTCCTTGAAATATTTGTCCCCAACAAATGTATCATGATGTTTGATTGGCATTTTAGAAGTTGATGAGTAATAAGAAAGGTAGGATACTATACGGATGACAACTTCTTTGTTATATAATGATGCAGCGTTTCGGTAGATTTGTGACTCTCTTGCTTGACAACGGTACAAGAATCTTTACCGAAATGTCGCATCATGATGTAATAAATAAGTTGTCATCCATATAGTATCTTACCCTTCTTAACTGCATCATGATTGGTAGAAATTTGCAAATGTACATCTTTAGATTTAAAGCTGCGATACCACTCGCCATGAACGTATGAGAATAGTTTTTAGTGAGTTTAGTTTTACGCCGCACTCAGCAATAATCCAGCTGTATAGCAGTCTATGAGAATAAATCCTTGTTGACATTCAGTAGCCATCTAGATCCACATTTCTGGGAATTGAACCCAAAAAACTAATCCAATTTGTCTCACTCGAAATAAGGAAAATGAAAGATTTTTTTGTACAATGAAAATAATTTTTCCTAAAAATGTTGCCTTCAAATATAATACCTGGTAATGTGACTATCTAAACAAGGTTTCATTTCAAAATCAGTTACGGATGGTAAATAATATATCGACAGCAAGAAAATACTACTACATTAATCTCGTTTGCCATTTGCTTAGCCCTTATTGTTAAAACAATCCTATGAAAATAGTAGCACTTACAGACATAACTAATGTCACTCCATCTAGAGCATATTAAGCACCATGATATGTTTGCTTGTTTGGCAATGAGTGTCATCTTACTACATAATAATATAACCTTTTCCACAGTACAAATTCAGTTTCAAAAAGTATTTCATTGGACATTTTTGGGTCCATTTTGGGTCCACTTTAATGTTTATTCTGAATAAATGAAATTTTATAGTTGCATTCCCTGTGATATTCATAAATTTGGGTAAAAATAAAAAAAATACAATTTGAAAAACTATGGAAAGGTAAGGTATCGTTCACGGCCCAACTCTGCATCTTCCATTTTGTGTGTGACATGTAAGAAAATCCCCTTAGCACATTCAGTTCACACTAGTCAGCCAGTTACATATCTACATTACTTTTCTGTTATTTGAACCCTGTATCATTGAAAGGGCCACTATCCATCAGTGCAGTAAAAGCACAGACTTAAAACCTCATGAACCTTAATGAAATCTGAAATGATCATCTAAAAAATGGTGACATGTGTCTCTATGTTATGAACTTCCTGATAACTTATCAATGTTTCTTGACATGGTAATGTATCCTAATGAGGTCCCAATGTTATGCTAGGACCCTTATAACGCTTGTCTTACACAATTTACATTCGTCAATATCATGTGGAACGAGACCTTGTTCCATGGAGCAAACTTAGCTCTAAGCGATCGTATATCCCGTACTTCGTCATGGATCTACGACAATCATAGCGCTAACATCACCTTGTGGAACGAGTCTGAACGATCCATGTTGGAATTTCCACCTTCTTCTAGCTGTATCACTGTCTGTTAAGTTGTTAGTCTTGGTCCAAACAAAAATGAAAATGAGATGATTATCTTAAGACATGATTAAACACCCTCCATTGAGAGTGGTACTAAAAGATCAATAGTTGTAAACATTATCACAGTCCAAGCACCTCAACATTTCTAAACATTCTGTGGGTAACTTTTGAAGGAAGCTGAAACCAAAACAAAGCAGGATTTTGAGTAAGAAAAATATCACACTCCTAATGATATCGCCAAGCATCTGGAAAACATTAGGTCCAGTGAATAAGTGACTCTCATTAACCTAGGTTTCAACAATATCTGATCATATCACATCTTAACAGATTAATGTCGGGAGAAGGCGCAAAGTTACAAAAATTTATTCTTAGAACTTGGGGTAGGCACCAGCACAGACATGGATCCTAAACCTCATAATCTGAGCTATAATGAGATTCAAAGCCCTGACATGCAGATCCTGGCAGATCAAGGGAAGTAACTGAACAGTGAATTGCGATGCTTTAGGCACCGGGCCATTCTGCCAACTCATCCCCTTTCATGACTTATAAATTCAGGGTTTTGAGGCACTCTCCTACAAAAATAGAATATATCATAAAAATATATGGTTGTAAGTGCACACAGATCGGAGTAACACCAAATCTGAACTTTGAGCCTTCCCCTGTGTGGTGTGGAAAAATACTTCAATAAATTGGGCCGTGTTTCAGTTACTTACATTTATTAAAATCCACTTTTGTACATATCTAGCTGAATAAATAACTGTAATATAAATGCCTTTCTCACAAAACCGACCCAGTCATCCCGTACATGTAGGTTTGATTGTTGTCTAACGCCGCACTCAGCAATATCCCAGCTATATGGCGGCGGTTACATGTACAGTAACAAATGCAGTGATAAATGTACTATCATAATTTGTTTAGGAATAATTTCATTGATTTGATACCTCTGAATTGTTCATTTGAAACCTATGCTAAATATTCTATTTCATTCACAGATTACCCAAACAAATTTAAAGATCACTCAACTTCATTTGAGAGCTATGTTCTAAAGACTGAAATTCTGAGGGTAAAATGCAAAGGCACTCTACTGCAACACTGTTAAGACTGACTGACTTAGTTTAGTTTTACGCCGCTTTTAGCAATATTCCAGCAATATCATGGCGGGGGACACCAGAAATGGGCTGAACACATTGTGCCCATGTGGGGAATCGAACCCGGGTCTTCAGCGTGACGAGCCAATGCTTTAACCACTAGGCTACCCAACCGCCCCACACTGTTAAGAAATATAATCCCTTTCTCTCCAAAACACTGACCCTGTCTTGACTTCAGCTTCCTTCAACCTGTCATGGGGTATGTAAGATCAAGTCATATATCAAATTAAAAGGTATATTTTCTTTTATTTGTACAGGTGAGTAAATGTACAAATTAATTAGATCATGATTTATCAATAAAATGTATATATGAGAAGTGTATATGAGAAGTGTATACGTGTATATGTTGCAATACGAAATGGAAATGAGAGCACAATGAACATAATAACACACAAACTGAAATTAAATAATGATTCCTGAAAGTCTTCCGCCAGATCGATCAATACTGGGCAACATCACCCTAGGCTTGGTTTTGTCAATACGAAAAATATGCATAATTTAACTTACAAAGTTCAATTCACATTTTACTTTTAAAATAGTTGAAATCTTATTGGAACAAAAACCACTGCTGCTTGTGTAGAACGTAAGAACACACTCAACTAGACTAATTCACAGAGACGTTTATGCCTGATGCCATTTTTCCATATTGGCAGTATTTTGGCACTTTTCCTGATCCCCAAACTGACCATTCCCAAAATTAACTAGCAATCACTCATGAACTAAACATAACTAACAAACGTTCACTAAATTTTCAAAAGCACTTCTAGTTCAAGTATATTGGTAACTAAAGCATTTATTGCATTAACTGTAAGTTCTGTCAAATGAACCTGTGTCATCGAAAACTTGATGAAAACCGACAATACACAAGTATAAATTGTACAATAATTGAACCAAAATGTTAACGATATATAATGCTTTCATGTTTTAGCTGTTTTCAATCCTATACCACTTGCACATTTTTCCTTAAGCAAACAAATAGACAACTGTTTTGACTGTATTCATTTCATTAACCAGGTATAATTTTTCCAATCCTTCGACCAATTTAACCCTTCTCCTAGATCAATAGTCTTACATATGCCACTAGTCAATACATCAATGCATTCATATGCCTATAACCTACTAGTATATAAATATCTCCATATCCATTGTTGTTTGTTCAAGCTTTTGTGCTTGAATATTCTCTCATAATGTTTAATTAGTATCAATTTTCAGACATCATTTGATTCAGCCATTCAAGCCAGAATATCAACTCAGAAAACCGATTCTATTAAAGCCAGTTTTTCACCGTATCCCTCCATGGCCCCTGACTGATGACTGTTCTGATACACTGGTATGTATTAGCTCTTTGAGCCATAAATGAACATTTTTGTACATTGACATTAAAACAGCATGGCAAGGACATACAATGACAGCTTAAAACATGACATCAGATGAAAATAGAGCATGTACATAAATGCCTTTACAAAAAAGTGTTTCTAAATATTGTATATCTGAATATTTAAGACCTGAGGATATGGCTACTAAAGTCCCATTCCTAACAAACATCGTTCAATAATCTGACTATTCTGCTGTGCTTTGATATATTTCTGTTGTAAAATGTCTTAATACATGGTTAAATTTTGTTCTTTTTCACACATTAGTTTCCATTTTTGATACCCGACCGATAACAACGTGAAAATATAAAAATATAACGTCGACCCCTGTAACCTTATGACCTTGACCTTAACATTTAGTGTTGTATCGAAAACATTATCACCCTTAGATTTATAATGACTTCAACAAAAATACAGCAAAGCACAGTAGCGTTAGTTCTGTCTGAAAATCACATGATCACACATGCTATCTGCCTAAATACTAGTCATCAATAAGCAAGCCTTTAGACGCCTACTTATGTGAACTATCTGCACAAATACACAGTGATACGATCATACAAGTCCCACACCCAACACATTCTGCCTGCAGAAGTCTTACGCCATTATGTTTTTTCTAAAGAAACCACTTGATGCTGTGGTTGAATTTTTTAGCAAAATAAATAAATTACATTAAAATAGAGACAAAATAAATACACAAATATTACATCTTGGTAGTTGTTAGGACCATGATGTCCTTCCTGCAGCCTCAACCAGGAATACCCCATTATATGGCGTTTCTCCTCGTCATTTTTTGCGTTCATATTTCCTTATGATCTCAGCTGATGTAATTGTTCATCATCGATCAGATTTGATCTCTGTTTTTTCTGCAGTTGTCCATCATGCTCAGTTCAGGGCCTACAACTCCGGGCGGGACTCGTGCTCTGTCGGGGCATGGATTACCCCCCTTGAGCAGCTCACCTCCAGGGGTCTCTCCTTGTACCCATGAGCACCTGGTAGTGTTGATTATTCCATTGTCTAAGTTTGTGTTTCATCAGAACAGCATACTTTGGCGGCGACGGTTGCCTGAAAGGGACGTAACTTTCATTACAAAACATATCAAACAAAGACTGACTGACTGAGTTTGGTTTTACGCCGCTTTTTGCAATATTCCAGCAACATCACGGCGGGGGACACCAGAAATGGGCTTCACACATTGTGCCCATGTGGGGAATCGAACCTGGGTCTTTGGCTTGACGAGCCAACGCTTTAACCACTAGGCTACCCCACCGCCCCTATCAAACAAAGAATACACCACTGAAATATAATGAAACTGAGAGGATAAATATCTAATAATAACCTGGTCAAATGCACACAAGTACATGTCAATGTATTTTAACATTGGTACCATATATAGCTGCGTATAGTGCAACCCATTTATAAGGCACCTCCTTTAAAAGTCAAGGCTAATTCATCTACCTTCTCTATAAAGTGATATGGAATGAACCACTTCACATGCATAGAAAGAATCCTTTCATTTGAAATCAAATCATGCTAGACTTCAGGTGTTGTTTTCTACAATGCTATGTCGCCGCCTTAAAATCAGCAGGGCTCCAGATAATTTTTCAACATCAGGAGTACGTACTCCTTATTTTTTCAATATAGGAGTACTGGAAAAACTTAGAGTACATTTTGATTACAGAATAGAATTAAATGGACTATCAAAAGCTTCTGTTTCATTTCATATATGCACCACAACATTGCTACTCTTGTGTAAACAGGTAGGAAAAACAATAAAACAAAAAAAGTTCAGTCTGTAAATGATTCTAAGACCGTACACCATTGCTGTGGTGCGTATCTGCTACATTTTCTAAATTATTTCCTACCGTATCGTGCATATATTTTATCCGTACATACGCCCATACAGCCCTTATCTGGAGCCCTGAATCAGTATGTAAAATTCCGCAGGCATGCATGAAAAAATAATGCACATGAATGCATGTACATGAGTAAATATACAAGAAGTAAAAACTTGACATTCAACACTAGTTTGCTTTGTTTGTTTGTTTGTTTGTCGCATTATCATTTATGTACAACAAACAAACATTCAGTGCTGGCTATACCGACCTGATGTTGCTACGGACGATGACCTCATCCCGGGGTCCCGATGTAGAGATACTCCTGGTATTGTGAATATGGAAACAGCTGCAAGCACAACATTCAGACGCTACAGCACTGTGTCTTTGACATGGAGTCCAATTCAACACTTAAAATATATGGTTATTCATTCAAAGAAATGTCCTTATTTTACATCAGACAAACTAATAAAATACTATTGCTGCATTTTTGCTGCTTGTTGAAGTATATATAGATCAACAGTTTGAGTTCACACTTTGAGTCGACTGGCCCCAACCGTGACATCATTTTTATCAATTTGTCAATTTAAGGAAAGCTTACAGATACTTGACCAAATTATTTTTTACTAGACTGCTTATTAGATATTAAGTGCAAGACAAGATCATCTCAGAAATGATCTAAGCAGGTGACTTACTGTCAGGCAGTCGCAGTATTGAAGGGCCGAAGGATGTGAAGAATGGCTGCTTCATCCCCCTGGGCGGCCGATATCCTGCTCTTCCCCTCGTACTGGACAAACACAGACATCACACAGTAAGTAGTAGTGTTGGGAATTGGTTGAAATCTCACAATTGATGATTGATTCATTACCAACGAACATCATCGAAAAAAAATTGGTTAGCGTAATTTTTCAGATTTTCCTATCCAGGTTGTTATTGCAGATATGAATAACATGATGCAACTTGTTACTTTAAAGTGAAGACGAATATATCATGAACATAAACTTCCTGGAGTCTTTAAGAAATATTCAGTCATGGCTTTTCAGTTAGTGAAGTGAGTTTTCTAAGAATTAGACACGTTTTCAGGCCCTGACACTTCAACGATATGTTCCATTGTCAAGTATTTTAAAGACTAAAACAGTAGTTCCAAAATCGTTTATGTTCGATTATGAGAAAACGTGATCGATTGCTAGGTCGTTTGGTCACTGCGACCAATCTTCGATTATTTCAATTAATCGGAAACCACTAGTAAGCAGTGAAGGAGAGAGTTGACTTTCAGGAGGAATTTTGCAATATATCAGCCATATTACAGCATGACATAGTTATTCATTTTGTACCACTTAATCGACAAATTCCACATGGAAGATACAAATACATGCCAGATATTAAACTGCGTCCTGTAACGCACCAAATGAGATTCAAATCTATAACACAACATTGTTGTGTTTGATTATTTCATGCCTGACAACTCAGAAAACATTTTGATTGCAGGCCATTTTGACAAAGTTTAACAAAAATTCCAGGCCATTTTGACAAAGTTTAACAAAAATCAAATATACCTTTTCAATGGGGTTCAGTATATATCACCCTGTTGACTTGGACATTTGATGAGTGACTTCTTAACTGTTTTCAAGTGTGGAAAATCCTTATTAAACAGTTCAGTTGTCAAAAGGTATGTATAAAGTTCAGTGTTTCTTACCTTTAAAAATCTGGCTAGAATGTCTAAACCATCAGAATCCAATCTGCAAGGAGAGGTATTTACAGAGTCAAACGAATCATTGACAGAGAGTGTGTCATTAAAAGAATAGTTAAAGTACCGTTCAGTGTGGTGATCTGAAGAGGTGTGGTTATGGTGGTGGAATTGGGTTTAACGTCGTGCTTGAGAATATTTCGCTCATATGACGACGTGCATGTGTGTGTATGTGTATGTGCGGCTGCGTGTACTAGCCCAGACTAAAGCTGGTTTTATAGTGCTAGCCCAATGAGATACCATGCCGCAGTGAAGCATGAATACCCCACTCAGACACATTATAGTGACCTCGAGCCGACCAGTCCTTGTTGTACCCATTAATGCCGAGCGCAAGGCAGGGACCAACAAGTACCATATTTTAATGTCTTTTGGGCGGACGCTCTAACCACTACACCACGGAGGCGGTGCTGTCTCTTCAGTAGAGCTCAAGGGGACACGGTCGGGGATCAACCCGCGACCTTCCGCACTCCGGGCGGACACTCTAACCACTACACCACGGAGGCGGTCAGGTGTGGTTATGACATTCAGAGGCAGATACAAGATACAAGACTCATGAGTAAGTTGTAAGTAAACAAATACAAATGATGAGACAGAAACAGTGTCTAGAAAAGGGAATATACCCCCGGCATCCCCTCTGTATTTATGGTGATTACATCCATTGGTAAGGTGTTGGAATGGAGATGATCACAACAGATCAATGAGTGAGTGAGTAAGTGAGCATGGTTTTACACCGCTGGGGACAGTGAGTGAGTGAGTTTAGTTCTACGCCACACTCAGCAATATTCCAGCTATATGACGGCGGTCTGGAAATAATCAAGTGTGGACCAGACAATCCAGTGATCAACAGCAAGAGCATCGATCTATGCAATTGGGATATGACGACATGTACCAACCAAGTCAGCGAGCCTGACCACCTGATCCCGTTACGCCAGTGGGGATGAGGGAAATAGACTTCACACATTGTACCCACGTGGGGAATCAAACCCAGATCTGATGCGTGAACTGTCCCCAGTTCATAAAAGTCAGATTTACCCCAGATTCTGTGTACATGTGGGGTCAAACATATTCCACATCCTGTACAACTACTGTTAAACATTTCAAATGTTTGTCTAGTCGGACACCTGCAGCTTCTGCTCAGAACAACCAAATACAGGTACAGCAAGTAAAATATTTAATCAGCATCGATATTTTAATAAAACAAAAGAGACTGACCTTGGTGCTATATTGATGAGAGGTTCTGGTCTGTAGAATGGAAAGTTGTAGGAGACAAACTCCTCATTGGTCGAGATTCCTGAGAACTCTTCATCTGAAGGAGTTCCAAGTGTCTTGAAGATGAGGTGGAGCTCATCCTCCACCGTGGAGCCGGGGAACAGCGGCCTGCCGCATGCCATCTCGTAGAAAATACACCCAACTCCCCTGGAAACAGAAAACATGGAGCTTGTAGTGAGTGAATGAGTAAGTGGGTGGTTAAGATGGTTGGGTGAGTGAGTGATTGAACAGTGAGGTGTAAGAATCTGCCGAACCAGTGATTGATACTACGAGCACCTTTCCATACAATCACCAAACTCATCAAGCCTGTCCACATGTGATTATTACCTCTCTTACAACAAACACACTATGTGAGATCTACTGAACCCAGATTTCCTATGGGAATCAAATCATATTTATATTTGCCAAACTTATGATTCAATTAATGATTGCCCATAGTAGATTGAGAAGAACTTGTTTCATAAACATAACCACTCATTAACATGCAACCCAAAACATTTAAGACGTAAATTATTAATATCTCAAAGTTTTGGCATCACGATGTTAGTTTGTCAAATGCTGCACTCGGCAATATTCAATCTGTATGACAGCCATCTGTAAATAATGGAGTCCAGACAATCAAGTGATTGACATTGTGAAGCTAGATCCACGCAATTGGGATACGATAACAAGCATCAGCCAAGTCAGCAAGCGTCCTAACCACCCCTGACAATCCCTTTAGTAGCCATATTCAACAAGCATGGGTTACTGAAGACCAATTTTTACCCAGATAATTATAAAACCTAAGATATGATTCCTAGAAAACACACAGAACAGTAGCAGTTGGAGGATGCAAATCATAGACAAGACCAAGCGGGCGCGAATGATCCTCAAAACTGATGGAGACTAAACTTGGGAGGAACGTACCACATGTCAATCTGTGTTGAGTACTCTGTGGACCCTAGTAACACATCCGGTGGGCGGTACCTGCAATAACAGTCATAAGATTATGTCACACAATTAGTGTTGGGAATTGGTTGAAATCTCACAATTGATGATTGGTTCGATACCAACGACCAATCGTCGAAAAAAAATTGGTTAGCGTCATTTTTTAGATTTTCCTATTCAGGTTGTAGTTGCAGACAAGTATAAAGAAAAAACATTTGGTTCTCGGTTGTTGTTTGGTTTTATTTAGAAACTGCACAAATTATATTTGCAAATTTCACATCCAGTGGAAAATGATTCAGTTCCAGTGTAACATAAACTTCCCAGATCCTTCAAGAAATATTCAGTCATGACTTTTCAGAAAGTGAAGTGTGTTTTCTAAGAATTAAACACGTTTTCTGGCCCTGACAACGTCCTAGATATGTTCCATCATTAAGTATTTCAAACTCTATTCCTATTATGAGAAAATGTGATCGATTGCTTGGTCGTTTGGCCACTGCGACCAATCTTCGATTATTTCAAGAGATACATGATTATTATTGTTGCTACACCATTTCTACACCAAGGAATGCAACTCTGCATAACAAATCGTGGTGCTTTCGTCACTTGGTCACCCCTGCTTTTCAAACCTACAATCATTATCAGGGTGAATTCGGGATCCAAACCAATGATGTCTGGCTCATCCAAGGGACATAACTCTGTACAGCACGACTGGGCCAACTGTCCACTTACCCCATCACTGATAAATGATTCAAGTAATAAGGTGACTGCAATCCCTCAAAGAAATGTCTGCCAAGGATTATGTTAACCAAATATTTAACAATTCTCTGATGAATACTTTTAACATTCATGAACCACAAACATGTTGCCTGATACTGGAACAACATCTTACCACAATGTGACAACTTCATTTGAATATGTCTTGGTTGGAATTGACTTTGCTCTGGCTAAACCTAAAACATGAAAAACAAACATGTAAGACAATATTTACCATAATCTTATTTGTCTTGATTACCAAAACGTTTGATGAAAGTGAGTTATTTTATAATGATCTACATTACAACCTACATCCCTCTCCACATAATAGTGGTACACACATCATTGTTGATGTGATCTGTAAAGAGTAAGTGAGTGAGTTTAGTTTTACACCGCACTCAGCAGTATTCCAGCTATATGGTGGTAGTCTGTAAATAATCGAGTCTGGTCCAGACAATCCAGTGATCAACACCATGCGCATCGATCTGCGGAATTGTGATGTGCAAGGAAGTTGCAATGCTAATGAGTGAGTGAGTTTAGATTTACGCTGCTCTTGGCAAAATTCCAGCAATATCAAGGCGGGGGACACCTGAAATGGGCTTCACACATTGTACCCATGTGGATAATTGTACCCGGAGAAGTCTTTAACCATTGCGCTACCCCAAATGCTAATGGCATCAAACCCCATTGTTATTAATGTCATGTTGCACTGTGGCATGGTTGATGAAGTAGAAACAATAAAGTGTTGATAGTAATGAGATTAATACTTTGACATCAACACTTCTTGACTTACATCAGTTTCACCCCCTATGTTTATATGGACTTGGATTGGGTAATGAAGACTATCAATCGCCAACTCCCTTAGCAATATTCTCAAATGTACTTGTAAAAACTTGTATTGATTATCCTTTCACATGATAATTGATGCCATCTTGAAAAACCAGCGTCTTCATAACATGATAATAAACATTTATTTCAAGAGTTGAAATTTGATTAAGAATTGACTTCAATATTTTTTGGCTTTTATTGAAGTATAAATGTCAAATCTAGCATGATCTTATGTCCATTACTTCTTAAACTCAAAGTTTATTAACTAGATGTCAAAGTGTTGGCTAAGTCAACAGTAATAGTTCCCTGACTGTCATGAAACAGTTAGACCATTTCGGATGTCTTCTAATTTTATTCAGTGGAAAATAAATGCATAACAGATTACCCAGTTAGTCAATCAAATGCATGGGATCACTTGCAATTCATATTTCACAAATTCTCAAATTCCACTTTTAAATGTATAATAAATACAATATGTTGACATTAAAGTTCAATGTACCCACGGTAAGTAGAGTTGAGCATGTATACGGTTACCCCTATGGAGTCATGACGTGACATGTGCCCAATAGCCCCCTGATAGCTTCCGAACATTTATCTGCCGTTATCAGACGGTGCCAGGATGTGGAAATGTCAGCCATGAGCTGCTGGCCTTAACATCCAAGCTGGCTCCTCCTCATCACATTACACAGAACACATGGGGATGTCGGCCATTGCCAGCTGTTAGTTCATGCTGCATATAGCTCACAATTACCATTCTGTAGTGAAGCTTACATGAGAGAACCCATTATGGTGATGTCACGCTATATTGTGCTGGCTGTTCGGAGCCACGATTGCATTTGTCATTCTGAGTATGTTTTTAAGCACTGACATGACTATAGATCATAGTGCAAAATTATTTAGATATTACCTGATAACTAGAACATGGTTTTGGTCAGAGAAATCACTCAAATCTGTTCATTCTGAGGTTGAATAAACTGATTAAACGATTTCACCATTACCAACTGTATGCTTATGTAGAAGACATCAGTTGCTTCAAATGTGTTTCGCCAGTTATATTCAAGTGTATAGTGTCTATTTGACCAACAGGCAAATGCGATGACACTATAACATTTCTTTTTATTTAAACCTCCCAATGCTTCTGTTGTAAACATTTCAGATTGTGATACTTCATTAATGCATCAGGAAAGATGTTAAAACCCTTTGTATTAACCTTAAGACAAGAATAATTAAAACATTTGTTTACTTGAACCAATTTGTCCTGCTTGAGCCTAGTAATTATTCAGCCTTAATCATTTTGTACTTACTTTGACTATAAGATTTAAACCTGTTTGCGATGTGAATTCTTTGGAAACTATCATTTTGAAACAGGGTAATTACAATTATACACCATCAATCATTCCCTGGCATTAGAGTATTTGCAAGAGTGAGTGAGTGAGTTTAGTTTTACGCTGCACTCAGCAATATTCCAGCTATATGGTGGCGGTCTGTAAATAATTAAGTGTGGACCAGACAATCCAGTGATCAACAGCATGAGCATCAATCTGCGCAATTTGGAACCGATGACGTGTCAACCAAATCAGCGAGCCTGACCATCCGATCCCGTTTGCCGCCTTTTAGTTTATGACAAGCATGGGTTGCTGAAAATCAGTTCCAACCCGGACCTTCACACGTCTCTAATTTTGAAATGAATGATTACCCGCTTAGATTACTGGGTTCGGACATTGTAGCTGAAATCATACTGAGTGACTGAGTGAGTTACGTTTTACGCCACTTCTAGCAATATTCCTGCAAAAGCACTGCAGGGTACACCAGAAATATGCTTCACACATTGTACCCGTGTGGGGAATTGAACCCGGGGTCTTTAGTGTGACAAGCAAACGCTTTAATTACTGGGCTACCCCACCACCACCAGGGGTGGAAATAACATTAAAATTGCTAGTGTACTCCTGTACAGTGGCACATGTAAAATCACTTGCCCTGATAATTTTTCCACTATACCAGCCGTTTTCTTGTTGAATTTTTAAAATAAACAACATAATTAACATTGGAAAGTCAACTGGACACCGGTACAGTGTGATATAAAAATTTGCTTGCCAGACAGAAAAAAACACTGGCCTCGGACGTCGGGCAATGGGTTATTTCCACCCCTGCGCCACTGAAGTCATAGACTGTACGTATATCATGAGGAGAGCTCATTAAACCTCTATATGTCTCGTGTGCTATGTTTATTCTACAGATATATGAACACGTCGTAAAAGTTACCAAAGTCTGCCAGCTTCAGCTCCCCACGCTCATTGATTAGAAGATTTTGTGGTTTCAGGTCTCGATGGAGTACACGGCGCTTGTGACAGTACGCCAACCCTCGTAATAACTGGTACAAAAATATCTGGAAAAAAAATACAAGGAATTAGGAACTCCTTACATTGTTCTATGTGTATCATCAGTTCACCTGAGTTAATGTCTGCATTTTTAATCTGAACAATTTTGTTGGTGTTGTTTGTCTGTTGTTTAGCAATATTCCAGCTAAAGGACAACCAAGTTCTATGGATAGTCAACTTCTTTACTGCAATTAGTGTGACGGTTCGGTGTAGGTACTAACACTGTTATCAAGCAAGTTACGATTTATCATCAGTTGACTATCCACAGAACTTGGTTTTTCTTTATCTTTACAACTTCTAAAAGGCCTCTTAAAGTGAGTGAGTGAGTGAGTTAAGTTTTACCCCGCACTCAGCAATATTCCAGCTATATGGCGGTGGTATGTAAATAATCGAGTTTGGACCAGACAATCCAGTGATCAACAGCATGAGCATCGATCTGCGCAATTGGGAACTGATAACATGTGTCAACCAAGCCAGTGAGCCTGACCATCCGTTAAGTCGCCTCTTACGACAAGCATGGGTTACTGAAGGCTCATTCTAACCCGGACCTTCATGGGTAAGGCCTCTCAGAGAAGTAATATTCCAGCTATATCTATTTTGAAGAAAGAATAAAAAGCAATAGCAACAATTTGTTAAAAATACACTGATGAGGAGACTCAGAGTTTGAATGTTTTTTTTAATGAAATCTGGAAGCAAATGTTGGGCAATCTATTATTAGACTGACTTACAAACTTCCTTACAAGGGAGATAAATCCAGTGACCTACCTTAACATTGGTCATGCTCATGATGTTGCCACAGTCATCCATATACTGTTTGAGATCCTTTTCCTGAAACAAGGAAGGATGTACAAGACTTCTTCAAACAAGTAGGAGACGCCTAGCAGGAAGCTCCATCATGTAAACAAAGATGAGTCATCATAAACTCCCACATATCATCAATTCAAAAACTTTCTGATGTAAATAAATCAAAAACAAAAACTCAGCTTAGGAGACTAATGTGAAAAATATGTGAAGCAAAATTGTTCACATACATAGTCAAGTGCTTCCATGTGTGTATTACTAGCTTGGAGTAATGCTGACTTTATAGTGATAGCCAACTGACAGGATGACACTATGCTGTGGTTTAATGTCCATACTTCACTCTATGTACTGACTCAAAGCTGGCCAATCCTTTCTATATCCCCTTAATGCTCATTGCCAGGCAGTACCATCATTTGACATGGACTGAACCACAGACCTACCACTCTCATGGAGTGAGTAGAGTATGGTTTTATGTGTTAGGGATATGATGTTGTGGTTTAATGTTGATACTTCACTCAGACACAGTATATTCCAAGCTGATCAATCCTTGCTATATCCCCTCAATGCTCATCACCAGGCAGGGTAATAACAAGTACCATTTTTAACATCTTTGGTTGGGACTGAACCACAGACCTGCCACTCTCATGGAATGAGTGAATAAGTATGGTTTACGTCGCTTTGAGCAATATTCCAGCAACATCACGGCAGGAGACATCAGAAATGAGCTTCACACATTGCAACCATGTGGGGAATTTAACCCAAGTCATAAGCGCTTGAACCATTAGGCTACCCGTCCACCCCCTGTTATCATGGAAGATGCTCTATCCTCTAAACCATGAACAGGGTCAGTGACAAAAATATGTACATGCTTTCTGTAATCTACAAAAGCATTGTATTGTTATTCCGAGAATATGCTTATTTTTGTTCTGTGATGCATTAATCTCTAGACACAAATATTTTATACATGGCACTGTAGTCTAAAAAATCAATGTCTTGCACAGATAACAGATCTCAGCTGACAAGATCGTTTTAAGTGTGGCAAATCTTCCCATAATAAGTAGGTGTTACATCTAATGCAGACCATCACTACAAAATCAACAGGAGAGTGCTACATACGAGATATTCAAAGACAAGCGTCAGAGACTTGTCCGTGTGTATTATATCATGTAGTGTGACGACATTGGCGTGCTTCAGATCTCTTAGCAGTGACACTGAAACAGATAGAGGTTGGCAGATTAAAGTACATCCACAATTATTATGTTGTGCATATTCCACTTTCCCTACAATTTGCACTCATACATAGCATTTGATTTATCTAAATATTTACAAACACCTATGTTAAACATGTTTTTCTTGAGAGACTTGCAACTTTGAATATCTCAAATTCAGTGACATTTGAAGCGGTTTGATTAAAGACATACATATTGATTTGACCAAAACTATTTGAAGAAATCATAGGGCATTATCTGAGATCTGGTTGCCTTGAATTTTAAGACATTCATTTCAGAAGGTAATTGTAAAGGAACTGTGAATGTATTATGAACCCTGCATAAAGATATCATTACTTACAGAATACACTATATCAACTCAGACTGGAATAACGTGAATATTATAATTCCTGAATTCCAAAAGCTAAAACATGCCCAAACCGCTGCATTATTACCCTTGTTATTTGAACAAACATGTATATTAGCTTTTCATTCTCAGCTTCCTGGGGATCATACAAACAGTTCTAAATATCACACACCTTTGCCAGTATAACAGAGATTTAGACAAATAAACCATCTAATTCACTGTGATCCAGGACTGGTGTACATCGCTGGAAGTGACAAGAGGCCCCTGATCCTGCAAGCTGGGACCTGTTTATCAGTTTCACTAATATTTACTATCACTTACACTAAAGGGAATCTAAATGTGGTGATGGCTGGGTTGAAAACACTGATGGCAGTGTAGGGGGAGACAACTTACAAACCCTTGTACAGGGGCAGACAACTTTTGATCATGGCAATTCAGGTGTAGATAACTCACTGCCCGGCAGCCATGCTCCTCACAGTGACAGCCTGTTCATGGAGCTCTCTGTACTATTGCTAATCAAAGCTCCTCACTGTGTTGGGCACCCCATAAACATACATGAATCACCCTTATGTTTACAAGTGATGACTGTATACTCTCCTACCGGCTACAGTGTATTGGTTTCAACTTTGCTGTTCCAACTATATTTAACAAAATACATACATAATTCATCAAGGATAAAAAAAAACTTGTATAAATTAATAAACAAGATTGGTAAGTCCCTGTAGACTAACAGAAAACCCTTCCTTCCCCCCCTCATCAAGGAAAAAAAGATTAGTTGTCAACCTTTTCTGAAATCACTATAATATTATTCCCAAAACATAGTCACACAAATATATATCACTGTGTTTGGGATCAGAAGTGTAAGTTTCAAGATTGTTGAAACAGCTGCTAGCACATGGGTGACAGCTATGATAGCTTGAGGGTGATGAAGGTATCACATGTTGGACAGCAGCTTGCTTGTTTTCAGGAGCAGATAACTCACTTGTCTGGCATTGAAGGGCAGGTAACTCACCTTCCCTGATGGCTGTACAGGGAGCCCCTTCTTCGTGCTCCAGCCTGATTTCTTTCAAGGCAACCAGGTTGTCAGTAAGTCGACTTTTCCCTTTAAACACTGTTGCATATGTTCCCTGGAAAGATGAGCAAATGAGTATGGCTTTATACTGCTTTTACCAACACTCCAGTAAAATGAAAACAAGTGTTTGTTAAAACAAGATTCACACTGTACGAGGGGAATTGAACCCAGGTTTCTGGTGTTTGAAGTGAACTCTCTAACCACAAGGCTACCCCACTACTCGTTATGGAGAGATGATCTTTTGACTGACCAAAAATACAATCAGCTTATTTGCAAGGGCAGCTGCTGATATTAGCCTTCTAGCACAAACAGGTTTGTTAAAACAAGAGACGCAGCTTACTAGCAGCTGGAATGATGTCCGTATACATCAGTCTATCAGACTTTCCAGTTGACTGTTGTAACATTTGATAAAGCTGCATCACAGCATAATAGAGACAGTAGAAGTAGAGGTCATGTGAACACTGGATGTTTGACATCTAAAGTATCCAAAGGAGAACCTATTATCACTGTAAAACTTGACACTACATACTTTTCCACACCATGTTCTGGAACAATAAAAGGTTTCTGGGATTCCAAGACACCTATCAAATCCTGAAAGCAGTCCAGTGTCAGAGATTAGCCAATGATGATACTATAAATGTCCCCGTAGAGAACCTTAAATCACTCAGTGGAATGGAACGGTGAACAATGTTGTAACTGCTATGGGTACACACCACAGTACAAGAGTTACAACAGTGACACTGTGGACCTGACCGAGGCAGACAGGGGACATAACATGAGGTATCTCATGGCTATGCTGCATTTACTGATATTCCAGTTAAATGGCGGTGGTCTGTAATTGATCAAGTCTGGACCAGACAATCCACTGATCAACAGCATGAGCATTGATCTACGCAACTGGGATACAATGACATGGGTCAACCAAGTCAGCGAGCCTGACCCCCCCGATCCTGTTAGTAGCCTCTTAAGACAAGCATTGCTGTACCGAAGATCAATTCTAACCACATTTGTTGCATACAAGTTGAAAACCAATGAGACATAAATTGATACGCTGAGAATATATTGTAGCCAAATAATGGCAGTAAACCATCCAAATGAAAATTCACGAAACAGCACTGGAACAGTTCCACAAGCACAGACCTTGAGGAACAGGAAGTAGGAAGTCCTAGTAGTAATGGCCAAAACATTGTTAAGTTGAGAACAGTTTACTAATTTACTCGCAAGTCAGTTTGGCGGGCAGGATACAACTGATGCTTCATGGATGGGACATGCGAGCCAGAGTCAGTCAACCATAGCAAGGTTTAATCAAGCCTGGCTTCAATAGCTGATGTCTACAGATGCTCACATCAGTGATGTAGAGTGTATTTACAAACTTGCTGTATCTCACCAATCACTGACAATATCTGGCTATGGAACAAACAAATGGTTACATTACACTAGAACTGGAATACGTGTGGACACACAGATATAGTATGAGACTTAATTCTTGATATCTGATTGGCTTGAGACTGTGATATCTGATCTTGATTGTCATGAGAATTCACAACCATCAACACAATGCTGTCTGTGGCAGGGCTTGAAATAATTGGTATTCTGGTAGCTAAACATAGTACACATTCTCTTGTGGATATTCTCATGGCAATGGTTGGAAACAAATTATCACAACTTAAAACACCCCTTGCTACAGATTTACATGTTATTGATACATGTTATTGATACATGTAATTGATACATTTAATGGAAAAAAGGAAAGAAGAGAAACGTATGTACATTAACAATGATCACCCAAACCTTTTTGGCTTCTTATAAACTATATCCAATTTACATTTTTTGTTGAAATCTAATATAGCCTATGTACAATATAAGTATAAATGTCACAGATCCTGGGAACTATAAAACAATTACTATATAACTGATTTAGATTCTGTACTTGATATGTGGAAATGGTTTGTAAATCATTAGCTACAAAGTCTATAAACCACAGTCAATAAACTCTTAAAGTTCTTAAATGTTTATTTGCTACGTTTAAAACAATAACCATAAAACTGATTTTCAGGTTAAAATGTACTCCAATAAAAGGGTTCTGGAGGTTTCAAGACAATGTTGTCAAGCTTTTGCAGCTGAATTAGTTTAGTCTAAGAATCTGTTTTAGCATTGTGTTACTTCAAGCATTGTAACAACCACACTCTAAACTTCAGCCCGCGATAGCTTTACAAACTGCACCTACTTTGGGATTCAAACCCATTACTTACTGTGACACTAACAACTTGGCCATTGGGCAAAAGCAATCTACCTAGCATTGAAGCCTCCTTCGGAAGTCTTCTCGTGTTTTACAATCTCTCAACTTCCGTTATTATTCAGGAAAGAGCTAAGAAAAACAAGCTGCTTTCCCTGAAAATTCACACGCCCCTGATGAACACAAGTAACTTCCTCGTCATATATGGATGTAAAATATTGTGCTCTTATCATGCATGAGGTAAAACATTTTTCTTCAATTCTCCAAAATGGATCCTGATGTTATAGGCCCTTGAGAATCCCAATAAGAGACTGGTTGGATGAGAAAACAGACTCCTTGTCGGAGTTTGTAATCGTGTCTCTCTATCATCCATCGATAAATGCAATCCTTACCTCCCCAAGCTTGTCCAGTTTGGTATAGGATTCAATCTTTCCAAAACCAATTTCAGACTGTAAAAAGGTAAAAAGGAAAAATATTAATTCAGCAATATTATGATGTGAGGAAAGCTCTCAAAGGCAGAAAGAATCAATACATATTAATATCAACTTTCAAAAATGAGAAAAAAGCAGGCTTCTCTTCTAAATTGCCTGGTTTTATGGTATGTGAATTTCATAAATTGAAATTCATTACAAACATGAGCAGCTGAAGTCAGACCAGTCAGATAATCACATTTTCTATAAGGGAATGAGATGTCAAGACTTGTTTCACACAAACACTACAGAGATATAGTCATTGGCCAATAATGACATAGAGAATATTACTAATAATTTAGCCCAGCAACATTATTGAAGCATCCAGTAAGTATGGTTTTACCATACTTTTTAACAATAATCCAGCAAAATCATGGCAGGGGACACCAGAAATGGTTTCACACATTGTACCCATGCAGGGAATCAAACCTGGGTCTTTGATGTGATGAGCGAACACTTTAACCACTGGGCTACCCCACTGCCCCCAACCTGTTAAGTACAATCATAGGAACTTGAAACCAGTGGTTAAAAGTATGAGCACGAGCGTGTTGGGATTCTGGGTGAGAAGAAGTTTCCATCATGCTCTGCTAGTTGTAAGGGTGTCATTGATGGTCAGACTTGATAGCATGTCACTGTACGGTGATGGTGTAGATCTTTGCTCACAATATCCCTGACTAGATTTGTCTAGACTAGACAGTTTACAGGCAAGCAATATAGTCAAGTGAGTCAGTGAGTTTAGTTTTACACCACTGTTACCAATATACCAGCAATATCATAGCAAGGGACACCAGAAATGGGCTTCACACATTGTACCCATGTGGGGAATCGAACCCAGGTCTTCGGTGTGATCAGCAAATGCTTTAACCACTAGGCTACCCTACCGCCCTGTCATATAGACAAAATACTGACCACAATGAATGACAAAAAAGGAACTACCAGTCATTCAGGATGCAATGACAAAAAACATCTCGTTCAGGTATTAAATCTCACACAAGGTCATTTACACTGCTGTTCTATGACACAGTAGACAAAACTGAAGCCATGTCCCAGTCCACCTTCATGTACAACCTCAGCAGCAATCTCCCTGTCAACACCATCACTACAAACCCCCACCCAATCAACATTATTCGCCTCTTGTAGAGAAACAGGTACACTGAGGACAGTCTGTAGCCCGAAAATCCCAATGCAATCAAATCATTACAAAGCTTGCTATAGCTGTGACAAAATGTGCCTACCAGAGACTTCCTCCGTGACCTCCGTGACAGTTGGCCATCGGGACTAAGGGTCAGATTTTGGCGTGCTAGGAAATTTTCTGGAAGACGGATGTCAGCCGGTAGAGACAACCTCTTTGTCACCTCCTGGAAACAGAATAAACCATTATTCCACATATTCAACATTATGGCTTCCATTGTTGCAGTTTCGATCCGATCCCAAAGGAAAATCACACCAATTCTTTACATCACTAAGATTTTGCTTAGATTGTAGATTTACTTCACTGAGCTATCAAATTAGAAATAATTAGTCAATTTCCCCGATAACTGTATTGTCTTGTGTAATGTGCACACAACTTGTCCAAAAACACAGCTGGATGTGAATTTTACATGCTATAATGAATTTTGATGATTCATTCCAAACTAATGCATTTTCATCTGCACATAATACTTGAAATTCTATTTTTCCAAAATACTGAATCCCCTAAGACGTGCACATTATACTTGGGTGTGCACTATCATCAAGAAAATATGTACATATTTGCAATGGAATGACAAGAGGCTGCAATTTGTAACAGGAAATCATCCATTTACCACAATGTAATATGATTTTAGCTATCACGAGACATAAAATCCTACTTGGTTTACTCTGGAACATATGTATGATCTAATCGCTTGAACCAACTTCCTCAGTGCTTGTCCAGCTCTAAGAATATCTTGGAATCATTGGACAGGATTTGCTTTTTGTTCTGAACACACTGATTGTGCCATGGCTCAAATCAGCAAACACTCTTAACGCAATTACTGCAGCAAGATGAAAGAACACCAAGAAATAGTGAGGTAGGATTTACAATCAGTTAAATTAGCAACACTTCTTTCCCTGTTGGTTTAGCAAACCACAACTCTAACACTCGCACATGAAAACACTGTATGCATTACGTGTTAATACAACCTTTACGAGATTGCATTCTAGAAATGAGGAAATCATTGCAAGCTCAGACTTTTTATACAGTCTGGCCATCACTCCATGGTGGTCTACATGCCAGTATATTCCCCCACACTGTAAGGGAACATCTTAAACAGATCGGATCCTAAATGGAAACAGATCGTCAATTGAGGTTGACACCTCTGTGGCTGTTGACTAGATTGTCCACAAATTGTTTTCTTCAAAGATTTTAGTGGTTTGGTTTGTTTGTTGTGTAACGCCGCACTCAGCAATATTCCAGCTATATGGCGGTGGTCTGTAAATAATCGAGTCTGGACCAGACAATCCAGTGATCAACAGCATGAGCAACTGGGATACGACATGTGTCAACCAAGTCAGCGAGCCTGACCACCCGATCCCTTTAGTCGCCTCTTATGACAAGCATGGGTTGCTGAAGAACAATTCTAAGCTGGATCTTCACGAGTACAAAGTTTTAAGTGAGTGAGTTGGGTTTAATATCACTTTGAACAGTACTGCAATTGTATGCAGGCATGTTAGCTTCATGTGGGTGGTAAAAGGTTTTAGATTTAATTACTAGTCTTAAATTTTTATCTGTGATAATCTAGTTGTTTTACTGTCCTTCGTTGACAGGTTTCTATAATGTACCTTTTATTTTGTAGTAATCTATAACTTGATTTAGTCACAATATGGCTGAAATATTGCCAAAGTGACTTTAAATTTTAACTCTCTCACTCACTCATGTAGGTGGAACGCCCGAAGTGTTCCAGGTGAGACCTACTAGCTAGAGTATGGAGACAACAAAAGCAGGAATATAATCTGTTTGAATGAGAATTCAAAGCCTTAAACCAAAAGATATATTTATTTTCATGTAATTCAGATATACCGCACCACATTATCCACTTTCATTTTGAAAGTCTTTTTGAGACGGTCCTCACATTTCCTGAAAAAAGACATTTTCCCCGCATGCGCAAACCATTTCCTGACAGCATCTTTCTTCAGGTGATGTTGTGTGAATGGATGTTCGCAGGGTGGTTGGTGCTTGCATTGGTTCTATTCAGATGACAGTGTACTTCAAAGGAGAAACTATTTTAGAGTTAACTAAATAAGGGCAGATATTTCATTCCTCTGGTAGACCACACTGTTTCCACACCAGCTGGTTGAGTTTGAAGTGAGGACAATGCCACGGTAACACAGAACACGTGGCAACTGTGGCATGGTGTTATTTAACACTCCATGTCAAGCAAAACCAGGTTTATGGTTCCCTGTCAAGGATATGTTAATTTCTCAGGTTGTACTTTTGTATTTGTTTGTTGTTTACCACCGCACTCAGCCATATTCTAACTATATGGCGGCCGTCTTTACATAATCAAGTCTGATCCACACAATCCAGTGATCAACAGCATGAACATCGATCGACGCAACTGGGATATGATGACATGTGTCAACCAAGTCAGCAAGACTGACCATCCTGTAAATCGTTTCGAGACTATCTCGACTATCACGAGAAGTAACCAAGATTACGCGAGAGGAAGCCATATTTGTTTCGGGGTCAGTGCGCCGTGGAAGTGTGGGAAACCACGTGCGAGATTGGAAGATTAAAAGAAGAATTTTAACCACCAGAATTGTGTTGTCTGTCACATCCGATCCCGTTAGTCGCCTCTTAGTCTTACGAAAAGCATGGGTTACTGAAGGCCAATATTCTAACCCGGACGTTCACGGGTATTCCATATTGGGACCTGACAGCTTATGTAACTGTGGAAGACATACACCTGGTCTGGTTTTATATCGCTTTTAGCAATATTCCAGCAGTTTCATGGAGGAGGACATTGTACCCATTGGGGAATCAAACCTGGGTCTTCAGTGTCACAATCGAAGGCTTTAACCACTGAACTGCCCCACAACCCCTGTTCTGAAAACATTTTGGGTTTTATTCACTAAAAGTGCTTGCCCAAATGCACCCAGTGCATTCTGGTTGTATCGCATGGAGGTGGGTCTGAGTGCACGTGAAATTCAAAGTAGTTTTGGGTATATAAGACAGTGGTAAATGATACAACGGGCCCATTCGTCCCATAGGCTTGTAGGACTGATTCATTTTGCTATTGTGGCATTAGATTGTTGTACTTGTATTAGAATATTGTGGTGTTTAGAGGTTAGCCAATTAGCCTTATTTAGATGTTTCATTTCAAAGTTCATTTTCTACACTTTAAGAGAATCGTGTTTAGTTTATTGTAAATTATCCATAGTTCTCTCACAGGTAATAGTTTTCAGTTACATAAAATTTGTTAGTCAGCTCCGCACATGTTTATTTCCACTGCACAACAACCCCTTGTCGTACTATCAACACAGCTTACCTCACTAAACCTCCTCTGTTTGTTGCGGAGTCGGACGGGAGAGATGACATCCTCTTTCTCGTCCGACGTGACTGATACCTCCTCACTTTCTCCATCAGATCCGATTCTGGGGTTCTCGTGTACAATGCCTGCAATACAAGCAATACAATTAGCTTATAATAAACCACAAACCAACAACACACATAAAACTGGAAAATGACAATTCATGTCATTAGGAAACGGTGAGTGAGTTTAGTTTTATGCCGCACTCAGCAATATTCCAGCTATATGGTGGCGGTCTGTAAATATTCGAGTCTGGACCAGACAATCCAGTGATCAACAGCATAAGCATCGATCTGCGCAACTGGGAACCGATGACGTGTCAACCAAGTCAGCAAGCCTAACCACCTGATCCCGTTAGTTGCCTCTTACGACATTAGGAAACAGAATATATAGTAAACAGTATGTGTGACACTAACAGGTGACACCTTCTGGCATCGTCACTGACATGTCCTGAACCGATCCTTCCTATACCACTGAAACCAGTCCCAAAACAGCAATGCAATATACATAACATATCATTACAGCAAAACTATTTGACTCTTGATGTCTTTCAGTGGCATTTAGAAGTTGTACATTGATGTCCAAGTTATTTTTTTATGGATTAAACTTCTTTATAATTTACTTCATAACAATTCATTCCAGGTCCCTTCATCACCTGATGAAGGAGACCTGGAATGGTCTCAATCAAACGTTGTGAGGGAAATTATAAAGAAGTTTAATCCATATAAATATCTTGGATATTTGACTCTTGTTCCTGGCGCTGGAGGAGTCCCCATACTTAGTCTCTAAATATATATTACTTTGATAGAAACCAACAATTCCTTGTATATTGAGTCCCCCCAGCTGTGATACAGTCATCCTTTGGGGCAGAATTGTTTAATAGGTGAGCAATGAGTAAATGAGTAATCTCCCCTGGTACTAAGTTAACTCCCCTGCCTAGAAGCATCTGTTCCACGTAACACATCAGCTGGAGGGATACAGGCCTTCACAACACTGCATCACAAACATATGACTATTAATCGAGCTAACTTTATTAAACATATTTACATTTTCCTTCTTCATTTTCAGAACTGACACTGTGGTAATCTAGACTTGCCACACAGTATGGACTTGCATGGACAGCATTGGGTGTATTTGTTTCAGAGTCTGTATGACAGACTACTCAAGATTTAACACTTTTATAAATTGTCAAAGTACAGACTACTGTGGATTATATTTGGTTGATGTTTAGTGAGTGAGTGAGTTTAGTTTTACGCGCCATTCTTAGCAATATTCAAGCAATATCATGGCAAGGGACACCAGAAATGGGATTCACACATTGTACCCATGTGGGGAATTGAACCCAGGTTGTCAGCGTAACGAGAGAACGCTTTAACCACTAGGCTAAAGCATTGGTTGCTGAACATCAGTTCTGACACAGACCTTCCCGAGGTACTGCAGATTAATGGATTGTTGTTTATTTATTCTATTCAACAATATATTGTTCAAACATTAGTTTTTGCTAGGTAAAATAAACAAATATATTTAAGAATTCAATGATGATATTTCTATAAAAACTTTCCAAATATGGATCCAGTTGAAGTCTACAGTTCGCAAGCATACCGGTACATCAGTTACCAAAGAACTGTCGTAACTGGTTCATGATATCTGATACAGATGGCAAAAGAAAGGCTGACTATAAGAGCAGAAAACACAAGAGCTCAATTCAGACTCCATCATATTTATCTTTCCAGCTAAATCCTTTTCATATCTTCACATTCCACCTCATTTCATGCAGATAATTTCTATTTGGGAAACCCACAGTAATATATACCAGAATCCTGGATTCCACAGTACCAGCAGCATTTCCCTATCAGACACCCAGTATTGAGAATGCTGCTGCTTCAGTGTACATATATAACCACTTGTAACTCAATCACAGCTGGCATCTGATCTGCCAACCATTAACAGATAACCCAGATCATACTCCTGGATACCGGGACAAAATAGGTCACCTCTTCATTCAGTACACCAGAGTTCCACTCCTTCATCTCACACCTTGACCCACCAGCAATCAGTGTTGGCATGAGTTAAGGCCAGCATCATCAGTGAGCATCACGTGAAGGGAGCATCTCCCCACTCCCGCCCTCCCCTGTACACACAAAGGACTAAAATCTCCCAAATCATAATGTAATGCCTTCGGTAAGCCTTTTCTCCATCTTGAGTATTGTCATATATTTATAGAAGGTAGCTGCACCTATTCTGACACACTGCCAGCCGTGAGCAAGAATCTCTACAATATGGTTCCATACCAATTCCCATAAGGAGGTAACAGTACGTTGGTAATTGTCCTGGTTCCATGTTCCTGGGTCATTCTGCCATTTTGGAACCATGTGTGAAAACACGCAAGCCTTCACCTACCCCAAGCAAACACTAGGGTCTGAGTTATAGCAGAATTAGTGTCGGAATGTTCAAGATGCACAACAGAAACTAAATCTAGTGGAAAGATCTCATCCATCGTGTCTAACACAGGCCATTACCTCCGCTCTCCTACAAGTTTGGAGTCAGCGACCTTGCACCAAAGACAAGGAAGCGTGGTGTGGATGTACGTAACCTTACCTGCATTCCTCCTATTTCTGCTGCGACAGTTACATCCGATCCAGTTGAGGCCATAGTCAAAAACTTTGGAGATGTATGTGAACATGGTTCATGCTAGTTCCCGAGATTCGCCTAACTCCTGTACTGCTGCCCATTAAGTCCTGGCAGACTGTTGTTACACTGAATGGGCTAAGGAAGGGGTGAGGGAGGGAGGGGAGGCAAGGGGGAAGAGTTGGCACATACACTTCCCCTTGCAGCCTTAGACCAGATGGTTTTCATCTTCCAGAAACAATAACAGTCTCATTTCCTGTACTGACAACATGCAGCTGATCCAACTAGGAGAGTACAATAGTACGGAAGTCTTATCTATAATTTTATATCTGTGACACAGTTTCCATCCGTTTCACATATTGTCCTGCTCTCATCAATGATAGAGAAGATGTCATGTTATGCTTCCTTCATGAATGTTGTTTGACATCATTTACACTGAATACGGCATCCAATGTTTTCAGGACAAACTGACAATTTTTTAAAGTTTAATAGTAAAGGAAACAGAACATTCAAAAATCAAACAACAACTCACAGAGCAGACAGAGATTTAAATGTTTTACGCAGAAGAAAATAGAAGATTTGATTGACATAAAGAGACATGCTCACTCCACTGCATCAATGCCTAAATTGCAAACACAGATTAAAGAAAGCATATGGCCAACAGAACCCATTAAATCTGGGCCATGTTCCTTTAAAGAATACTTTGGTATCTGTTCAACAGTTTCTCAATTTACCATCTGTCTAGCATGAAACTACACAGGCGATGTGCATCTGGAGACAACATGTCCTCGGTGACCTGCTGACATGTTCTGCCTGGAGCGTCTCCGCCACTCAACTAGGGGTGAGCAGTGGGTGAGGTGAGTGAGTTTAGTTGTATGTGTCACTCAGCAATATTTCAGCTATATGGTGGCAGTCTGTAAATAATCGAGTCTGGAACTGACAATCCAGTGATCAACAGCAGGAGCATTGATCTGTGCAATTGGGAACTGATGCCATGTGTCAACAAGTCAGCGAGCCTGACCACCCGATCCCGTTAGTCGCCTCTTACGACAAGCATGAGTTGCTGAAGATCAAATCTAACCCAGACCGTCATGGGTCAGGGGTGAGCAGCACTTAACACAGGGGACTTTAATACTGGGAGGGGCTCCAGAGGTCGGAGAGGTGAGATAGCACAGGTACTAGTGAGGTATTGCTGCTGTAGACTAATGCTTAGTCTCTGAATATATATAATTTTGATAGAAAACAAACAATTCCTTTCAAACTGATAAGGAGCCCCAGTGACATGTGAGATTCAGGGTGAGTGAGTGAATTGGGTTTTGGGGTTTTACACTGCTTTTAGCAATATTTCAGCAATATCACGTCGAGGGATACAAGAAATGGGCTTCACACATTGTATCCATGTGGGGAATCGAACCTGGGCTTTTGTTGTGACGAACAAACACCTTAACCACTTGGCTACCCCACCGCCCCAGGAGATTCAGAACCTGATGAATCTAGACTTGCTTCATTTAGGATTTAACATTTCAGAAAGGGTTAGGGAGAAGGGTAAATAATGTGGTTCAAGGACTGTGAGACAGACTATTGCTGCTGCTGCTGCTGCTACTGTTGCTGGTATGTAGTAGCCTGTCTCAGAGTCCCTGTTTTCCTTCCACCCAGTCCTGAATGCAATGTTACTGTTGAAATGTATTTGTCATTGATGTTTATTTTTTTCGCGTCACGATATGGCTGAAATACTGCTGATGTGGCAATAAATATAAGTCACACTCACACTCACTAAACACTCACTCACTATGTTAAAGCCCCAAATGAAATAAGTCTAGACTGAAAATGATGCTGTGTCCCGAATCAGGTTTATTGGATTCAAAACATATTGATGCAAACTGATACCTTCAGACAAATGCTGAAATATTTTGAACACATATTTTCAAAACAAAATATTTACCAACTCAAAATATCGCAAACTCCCTAAAAATATAAACAGCAATGAGAAATTCATTTCTAATCTCCAAAAGATGAAAACGACAAATTGATGAAACAAACTCATCCCACGTCGCCTCAAACCGTAGCCTGCTACTGCTCGCACTGTGGCTGTTCATGTTACAAAGAAGACTCCTTCACGATCTACAGACAAAATATCACCAGTATCGTATATGGATGATTGTTTCCTGATAGAGAGCTATCAAGCGGCTGCCTGAGGGAGCAATTGACGTCATATGTGACACATCAAACAGTCGTCAGTTTCCTGTCTGAATCATGTTCTTTCACAAGACACTGATGATGTGTGTGGCCGGACTACAGACAGTCGGGATATACAGTTACAACAGGGAGGATGTTCGGACTATTATCTTCTGGTCTGCAGATCGCTGATGGCATGGCGGATGTGCCTTTCTCCATGTTGACAGAAAGGTTACTCGTTTCAGAAATAGTCAAATTATCGTCAATACAGGAAATCAAAATG